TTATAGTTTCCTTTGTTGTGCAAAAGCTTTTAAGTTTCATTAGGTCCCATTTGTTTATTTTTGCTTTTATTTCCAATATTCTGGGAGGTGGGTCATAGAGGATCCTGCTGTAATTCATGTTGGAGAGTGTTTTGCCTATGTTTTCCTCTAGGAGTTGTATAGTTCTGGTCTTACATTTAGATCTTTAATCCACTTTGAGTTTATTTCTGTGTATGGTGTTAGAAGGTGTTCTAGTTTCGTTCTTTTACAAGTGGTTGACCAGTTTTCCCAGCACCACTTGTTTATTGCTGTGTTACTCCCTCATGACGCTTTGAGCCTGGAGCTCCATGTGCCTGGAATATCGTTCATCTGCTCCCTATGAGCTGTCTGGAAACAGGTCTGGAAGAAACCTCATTTTCTCTTGGAATTCTAGGTAGATTTGTGACCTGGGACGGATATGTTTTGGGGTTCATTCCTAGTTGTAACAACTCACTCCCTTTTTTCTCCTCCGTCTCAGGTAAACACTTATTTTGCCTTCATCCCAAAGTGAACATAGTCTTCTTTTGCATTTTACATCACCCTCTAGATAAACGTAGAAACAGCCCTGGAGCGCTCAGATGCTCAAAGAATCAGCCTTATCTTGAGGAAGGATGGTTTCTAGGCTTAACCAAGAAGCTTAATCAAGACTCTTTCTGACCAGGAAGCTCTCAGAGAGTCCTCAGGTTCCTATTAAGTGATTTTATTTGTTCTATGAAAGGAACATTAGTATTCTTAATCGGGATTTCCCATGTGGCTCAGTGGTTAAATAATCCACCTACCAATGTAAGAGATGGAGACACAGATTTTATCCCTGGTTGGGAAGATCCCCTGGAGTAGGAAACCACTCCAGTATCCTTGCCTGGGAAACCCCATGGACAGAAGAGACTGGTGGGCCACAGTCCATGGGATCACAAAGAGTCAGACCCAGCTGAGCACACACCACGCAGGATGTTCTTAATTAGATGTTATATTTTGAATCTTTCTTTTAATCATAAATAGGTGCCAAACATCCTTGGTGATTTTAGACTTTAAATTCATTTCCATGTCTGTATAAATAAATCATTGTTTCAAAAAAATGTTGATAGAGTTTTTTTTTTTTTCCTTTTGCAGAATTAGAAAAGTGAATCACAAGAAAAGCTTTAGGCTATATCATAAAGGTTACATTTTTGGGAGTTAGTTTTACAAAACAAAACAGAAAACCCCCAAACCCACAGTTGAGAAGTTGAGTTGAGTGCTAATAATCTGTAGAGGAAATTCCTGTAAAGGAAGTCGGCTTACTCACTCTTTCAACTAAACCTGACCGCAAACCTTATCTAGTCAAGGAGGTTGGCCTGGAGAGAATTTTAGATGCTTCATCTTTAGGTCATTTCCTTCTACTGACAGAGGCAGTTAATTTGATTTTTCTCTTTATGATCATGAATTTGACAATGTCAATGGTCATTTTCCTTTAGTAAAAGATTTTCCTTTTTTTTTTCTCTCCAGTTTTAGCTTATTATTTCTAAACGTGTATGAGTTAAATGTATCTCTCTGGGCAGGATGACATACTGTATTCCTCTTTCAAAATGGATATGCTCACATTTCTTCATCAGATAGAAAAGCCGGCAGTCACTGAAATAAAGCCTTGAAGTTCCTTCCTCTTTTTCAGTGTCTTAAGGACAGGAAGTACAGGTAAGACATGAGTACATTTTTTTTTTTCCACTAGATTTCCTAACCAGCAAATATAAGTTGAGAAAAGAACTTGAAACATTTTCAGAATGGATTGCTAATGCAATTCCTTTTCATTAACTATTTTATGCTGATAGGTGTGGTATTGAACTAGCAAATTTTGTATCTCCATATATATGGAGGCCTCACATTATTAAAAAACTTGTGGTTACCAAATAAGCCTTTCTATAATGCTTTGAGTATGTTGTGGGAAAGCTGGAGAGTAGAGGGATTTAAGGTGCTTGCTGAATTTCAATGTTTGTCTTGACTTGACCGCCGTAAGATTGCTAAGAGTGTGAGCTACACTCTTTAAAAAAAAAATATTTATTTGGCTGCACCAGGTTCTAGTTGTGGCACATGGATGAGATCTTTAGTTGCAGCATGTGGCATCTAGTTCCCTAGCCAAGGATTGAACCCCAGGCCCCCTGCTTTGGGAGCTCAGAGTCTTAGCCACTGGATCAAGCTATACTCTTGATCTTCTGTAATTCCTAGACAATGGTATATAAAGCTACCATGGATTATGTGAGAACCATAATAATATTAGTTGAATTAAATGGTTGCTATTTCACCAGACCAGATGTCTACATGCACGTGTGTTCTCTGTGTATAGTCACTGATGATCCCATGGGAAATTGTCTTTGATGGTGGAATTCCCCTACTTGAGTCTCAGATTCTTTGTTGATACCTGCCTACTCCACCTGCCTTTCCTCTTCTTATTCTCAAATCAAAAGTCTGGATCAGCAAAAATAATAATTCATCATCAACCAAAACTATTGAAAGCATAGTCTTGACAAACTGATTTGGGGGGTGGATCTTCAACCTCTGACAAAGGAAATATGGAAAGCAGGTATGGAGGCTGGTTTGGAGAAGAGACCCATCAGATACTTGAAGTCACCCTGTGACTCTCATTTCCATTTAAAAACTTTATTTATTTGGCTGTGCTGGGTCTTAGTTACAGCTTGCAGGATTCCTAGTTGTGGCATACAAACTCTTAGTTGAGGCATGTGGGATCTGTTCCCTGACCAAGGATGGAACCCAGGCCCTCTGCACTGGGAGCACAGAGTCTTAGCCACTGGACCACCAGGGAAGCCGCCCCTCATCTCCTTCTCTGAGGTGATGACATACGGTGATAGGAAAATTAGAGTCTCTGAGACCCTTTTCATATGGACACAAATTCCTCTGCTAATATTTCTAAGATGTGCAATTATCATTAATAGTGGAGACCACTCTTTCAGCAATGTGAGCCTTGGTTGTCCATCAGTAAAACCAGAAAGACAACAGCTACCTTCCCAAGTGTGAGCATAAAGTATGTAAAAGGGCAGGACCCCGTTAGATTCAGATCTTCCTGGCTATTGTTTTACTCCCATGAAAGACTTGCAGCCTGGTTTCGTTAGGTTGCTCAGTGCATGATAAATGTTTGGTAAATGCACCTTGGGTAATTCCTTATGATTCTTAGAAGTGTTTTGGTGATGGTGGAATGGACAGCATCTCATAGATACTAAAAGATCTCAAAGAGGTAGATGTTGACAAACAATACCCATTGAGTTATCCCACACGGATGGGGTTTCCAGAATGGACTAGCTCCCATGTTCCGTTGACAGCAGTGCTGGCAATAATTGCCATAACCTAGCACAGACCTACCTCCCAAAGCTCTGTTTTTGTCCTTGAGCAGGACTGCCCAGGGGTGCTCTCTGGGTCACAGTGACTTCCCTGACACTTGTTTATTTTTTTCATTTATTTATTTATTTTTTGCTGCACTGGGTCTTCATTGTTTCATGCAGGCCTTTCTGTAGTTGCGATGAGCAGCGGCTCCTCTTCATCGTGGTGTGCAGGCTTCTCATCGTGGTGTCTTCTCTTGTTGCCAGCACAGGCTCTAGGCTCATGGGCCCAGTGATTGTAGCACACAAGCTTAGTTGCTCCACAGCATGTGGGATCTTCCTGGACCAGGGATAGAACCCCTGTCCCCCGCATTGACAGGTGGATTCCTGTCCACTTCACCATCAGGGAAGTCCCCTGACACTTGTTTATAATATAGAGCCCAAAGTTCTTCTCTTTGAGAATCTGATTTAATATGGTTTGGAGAGCTCAGACAGGTGAATTTGTAATAAGTGTTTTGGGTGATTCTTGTAATGGAGGTCATCTGAGAAATGTAATCCCAGAGACAAAGGCCTTGCCTAGAGACAGTCCCAGGCAGCCTGAGGTCCTAACCCAGCAAGTGAACTTGTCGTGGACAGATGTTCATCTGTCCACTCAAGATTTGGATGGGAATTTCTGAGAGCTGGAGACTTACAGGTGTCGTGGTAGTCGATTTTCTGATTGGTCATTGGTCATTCAGTCATGGAATTGTGGAATGTTAGAGGTGAGATAATCTTAGAAATCATAGTCTCATGATTTCTCCAGTCAGGGAACTTTAAAAAAAAAAAAGCAGATTTCAGAGCCAAATCCCCAGAAGTTTGAGCCCCCTATCTCTAAGGTGGAAAAACAACTATTACAGTCCAAATAATTTATTTTGCCAGTAAAAAATCCTGAATTGCAGAGGGAATCTAGGTGTCTTAGTTAGAGTCACACAGCAAGTTAATTGTCAATATTGATTTGTTTTGACTCCTCTTGAATTCTTCTGCATTTATTTGGACAATAGAATCGATTATGATTTATGCACGAAGATTTGTCCTAGGCTTTGGAGATAAGATTTCTGAAACAGGATCTCTGCCTTTAAGGAGCTCCAAACCTGGTGGGAGAACACGGTATATGAAATGACCACACAGTGGTGTGGATAAATTCTGAATGAGGACTCACTGAGCTCTGTGTGAGCCACACCCTACTCCTAGAGACAGTGCATCCCGCGAGACGCTCAGTTCCTGCCGGCATGGAGCTTTGATTCCAGTTAGGGGAAAAGTCTCTAAAACAAGATGTTTTTCAGACAATAATGAGTGCTAAGACAAAGTAATCCAACACGTGAGTTAATAAGAGAAATGGCTGCTGGCTGGTGCAGTGGGGAATAGGGAGGGAGGTAGACCACTTGATCATGCCGCGGTCAATGGAGGTCTCTCTGGGGATGAAGCACAAGATAAGTCAGGAGGGAGCCATATCAGGTCATACAGTGTTTGGCATCTGATGCTTTGGAATGGAGTCTTTATCTCATGGGTGGAGGGCTGGTGAGGTTATCAGCACAGAAGTGACATTCTCAGGTTTGTTTTCTAGGCAGGGCTTGTAGACCTTATTTCCAGGCAGTGACTGGAGATGGAGATATTGTCCCTTCAGGGGTTTTGTGGGCAAAAGAAAGGCAAGCAGAGGTGGGAAGCAGACCTCACCTTGCAAGGCAGTTACTTACCCGGCCCTGTTCCTTGCTTACAATCTTGGCAAGAAGATAAGAGCAACCCCCGCCCCGCCATTGTCACCCCTGGGAATAACTGATGCAGTGACTCTGGTCCCCATCCCTGACACCCTAGGTCTTCCGCCATCCTGTGAAGCCCTTTCTTCACTGAGCGTGCCCTCCTCTCAGCGGATCAGCCGCCAGGTGGAAACATCCTGATTTCCGGTCCACCCTGGGCAAACGGATCTGGAGGGAACTCCCAGTGTATATGACTCTGTTTGCCTCCATCCAGGATAATGTCTCTGTGGTTTTCTGGCTCTGTCTCTTTCTGCCTCCTCAGAGAAGTCCGTACATGCTGTCTCTCCTCACTCTCACTTGCACTGGGCCTGCTACACCTCCAGCTCCTTCTCCTCCAAGGTGGAATGAAGCCAGCACCGGTGGAAACATTTCCTTGTCCTGTCTTCTGTGTGCAGGGGAGCCTGGGGAGGGCGTGGCTGGTCCCTACTCTCCACGCTCCTCTCCACTCCCTCATCCCCATCACCCTAAACCCTCCACGCTTGCGGATCTGATCAGCCATGGCCAAGCCTAACAGAAGCTGTCCAGTCTTGCTTGGGCCCAAATTTTCTGTAGCTTTGACCATCAATATTGAGTCTTTCCTCCAAATGTCCTCTGCGCTTCATGTCAGGGTGGTCTCCATGTTCTATCTCCCTCACATGGGTAGCTCCTTCCGCCATATGAGGACAGTGAGAAGGTGTCACTTATGAACCGAGAAAAGAGGCCTCACAGAAGGTAACCCTGCTGGTGCCTTGATTTTGGACTTTCCAGACCCCAGAATTTTGAGAAAGACGTTTCTCTTGGGTATAAATCACCCAGTCTTTGGTCTTCTGTTATGGCAATCTTAATGGCAGGAATGCACAGAAGACCTGTACCAAATAGGTCTTAGTGACCAGGATAACCACGATGGTGTGATCACTCACCTAGAACCAGACATCCTGAAGTGTGAAGTCAAGGGGTCCTTAGGAATCATCACTACAAACAAAGCTAGCAGAATGATGGAATTTCAGCTGAGCTATTTCAAATCCTAAAAGATGATGCTGTTAAAGTGCTGCACTTAACATGCCAGCAAATTTGGAAAACTCAGCAGTGGCCACAGGACTGGAAAAGGTCAGTTTTCATTCCAATCCCAAAGAAAGGCAATGCCAAAGAATNTCCAGGGGATCGTCCCGACCCAGAAGATATCTGGGTGTCCTGCATTGCAGTCAGATTCTTTTCTGTCTGAACCACCAGGGAACCCCCAAATATACATACTTGGTCAGAAACTTAAGAAAAGAAGAAAAAAAAGTATTCCAGGAAGAAATAGCATCAAAAGAACACACTGTACGGAGGGTGAGTTCAAGCAGGACCCTGAGTTGGAGATGCCCTTCCTCCTTCAGTTGAGTAAGAAGTGAGATATGCAGGGACTTCCACACACCACTGAAAATACCACTCGAGTGTGGGCATATTAGGGCTTTTGGGTAGGACCTGCCCTTTCAAAGCTTCCTGTGTGACTTGCGTTTTGATCGCTGGTTCCAATTTCTTCATTTCCCATTTCTTGATTTACAGAAATGAAGAGGATCCTCAGGGTGGAGTCTGAGGGACAATGTCCTCTACTCTGACCACAGAACCAATGTCCTGCAGTGATGACAGGGACCCAGGGAGAACGATGCTTTATTTGGGCTGGATATTTCTTTGGCTTATCGCAGGAGGGAGCATCAAAGGACTGAATATTCCAGGTAGGGGTTTTTCACTTTTCCTGCTGACCCTGTGAGTCTTATGTTCCAAGGTGAAAGTGACAGATATTCTGTGATACATGAGAAAATGATATAATTATCCAGAGCACTTCCTTTCTGCTGTTAAAATGGGGGTAGGAGATATGATTGGGCTGAACAGATTTGAATTGATTCCAAGCATTGATGGAGAGCCCAGTTACCCCCGCTGAGTATTCAATGGATGCAACTGAAGAGGATTTACAGGTGGGTTGGCCATCTCTAACAGGAAACCTCCATTACTATTAGTGATGCTGAAGACCAGTGGAAGGGAATTAGACCTGAACTTCTTTCCCTCACAAAATGGAAAATAAGAAGAAGAAAGACACCCATGGGAGCTTAATTCTTTGTGAAACCAAATACTCTTTGGAAATATAAGTTAGAGTGTCTTCTTTTTTTAAAATTACAGCTTTCAATATTTATTTAATAGAAAATAGGCAATTTCCAGTCACTGTTTGAAGATAAAGAGTTACTTTTATTTTTTATTGGAAGGTGATTGCTTTACAATATTGTGTGAGTTTCTGCTGTGCAACCCCGTGGCTCAGCCATATGTATACACATACCCACTCCCTCTTGGACCTCCCTCCTTCCTCCCACCCCACCCCTCCAGGTCATCACAGAGCCCTGAGCTGAGCTCCCTGGGTTCTTTGTGAAACCAAATACTCTTTGGAAATATAAGTTAGAGTGTCTTCTTTTTTTAAAATTACAGCTTTCAATATTTATTTAATAGAAAATAGGCCATTTCCAGTCCCTGTTTGAAGATAAAGAGTTACTTTTATTTTTTATTGGAAGGTGATTGCTTTACAATATTGTGTGAGTTTCTGCTGTGCAACCCCGCGGCTCAGCCATATGTATACACATACCCACTCCCTCTTGGACCTCCCTCCTTCCTCCCACCCCACCCCTCCAGGTCATCACAGAGCCCCGAGCTGAGCTCCCTGGGCTGTACAACTGTTTCCCACTAGATATCTGCTTTATTCTTGATAGTGTGTATGCACCAGTGCTATAGAGTTTCATCTTCTAATGTGCTTCTGTGTTGTTTTGCTTATTGTGGTTTTCAGGTTGCTTCACTGAAAAGCCACTTAGAACATACTCTGCAAGGTGTGGGGAGGAGTTTGTCTTGTTTTGTGATTTGCCAGAGCCACAGAAATCCCATTTCCACCACGGAAGTCAACTCTCACCCACCCGAGGTTCTGAACACCTGCCTTGTAGTGGTAGGAAGAACCTATCTGATGTCCAGTGGTACCTGCAGCCTCAGAATGGAGACCCAGCAGTAGAAATCACTCAGAATGCTCCTCACGTCATCCAGGAGAAGAGCACCCTTCATTTTCTGACCACAGGGATAAACCATGCCGGGTTATATATGTGTAGACCTAGGATGAGGTAATGTCTCAAATGCATTTCTCTCTGCAAACATCTCCAAGTCCTTTACTATCTGAGTATAGCATCTGTGTTCATGTTGTTGCTGTTGTTGTTTGGTTGCTAAGTCGGTCTGACTCTTTGTGACCCCATGGACTGCAGCATGCCAGGCTTCCCTGTCCTTCACTATCTCCCAGAGTTTCCTCAAACGCATGTCCATTGAGTTAATGATGCCATCCAACCATCTCATCCTCTGTTGTCCCCTTCTCCTCCTGCTCTCAATCTTTCCCAGCATCAGGGTCTTTTCCAATGAGTCAGCTCTTCACATCAGGTGGTCACAGTATTGAAGCTTCAGTTTCAGTATCAGTCCTCCCAATGAATATTCAGGGTTGATTTCCCTTAGGACTGACTGGATTGATCTCCTGTGTTCACGGGACCTTATTAACTTCCCTAGGAGCCCCCAAGAGAATGCCTGCTGTGTCTGGATGATCTTAGAAGTTAAGCCCCAAACAAATATGTCCTGTGAGAGTTCTGTCTCACATGAGCAACACCTTCTTCTTGGTAGCATGAGCTCCATTTACTGCCCAGGTCTCAGCCACCAAAGTGATGCACAAAGTCCAGAGGTGACCTGGTACCAGGTAAGAATCACTTCTCTGAATCTGATGCCAGAGTTTGTTTTTATGGTAATAGCTCTTTAAGTACATTATAGAAGCATGGGTTTGAATCTGAGGTCTAGAGCAGGAGTCCCCAACCTCCAGAATCTAACGCCTGATGGTCTGCGGAGGAGCTGATGTAACAATGATAGAGATAAAGTGCACAATAATTGTAATGTGCTTGAGTCATCTCAGAACCACCCCCTCCCCCCACCCGGGTCCATGGAAAAACTGTCTTCCATGCAACCTGTCTCTGGTGCTGAGAATGTTGTGGAACCACGGCTGCAGAACTTCCCAAAGCATGGCCTCATGCCTACGGAGAAGACCTGACTTCCAAGCAGGCTATCCCCTAGTAGCCACAGAGTCTGATGTTCCGGTCATTAGAATCACCCTCCTGATCAGTGCCAGAAAAATTTCTAAAATTCAAGTACATGACATGGGAGGTTAAGACATAAACTTGTGACCACTCACTCATGCAGAAAACCTGGTTTGTTCAACTTTACTGCCTTTGAAAAGCAAAGGGTATGGTTAAGGTGAAAGATACACCCAACAAATGTGTCTTAAAGGGTTTCTAAAAGAAGCAGGAGGGTATAATATTTTCTGAACAGGGCACATCTGTGAAGACCACACTGTCAACACAGGGACGCCCAGGTGACAGGTGTCTCCCACAGGTGAGTAGTGCGTGGGGGGTTCTAGGGAAAGACAAGTTCCCAAATGGTTCTGAGTTAGGAATGACATGTGAGTAAACGTCACGACAAAAACAAGTTTTATGGTTTTACTAAGTCCTATCAGATACACAGATGCTGCCTGAGCATCTCTTCTAAAGTCACTTGATGTCAGTTGACCCCTGGGTGGCAGAATCTGGGAAGAGAATTTAAATTGCCTCCTACACTTGTAATGCTTGTTTGAAGTTCAATACTTTGCTTTAAGAAATCATGCAAAACTTTAAATTTTACTTCCAAATATATCTGTTTATTAATGTAAAATTATTATTTTAAATTGCCACTGATCAAATAATTTTTATGATTTCTTTAAACACGCCCCCCCCTTTTTTTTTACTCTACTAGGGCTTAGTTGCCTATGGGATCTAGTTCCCTGACCAGCAATCAAACCTGGGCCTCCTGCATTGGAAGCACAGAGTTTTAGCCATTGAACCACCAGGAAAGTCTCTATCTGTTGACTTTTTGTATTCCTAGACTCAGCATCAGATACTCCTGGAGGTAAAATTATTGTGGGGTGAGATGCTATTTCCTCACTTGATTCTCTTGAGATTCAATGGCAACTGGTGTTATGGTCATTGTAAAAGTAAGTGAACAGGGAGGGTGAGTGTGTGCTTAAGGTCTCAATTTTATATTTTAAAGAGATGCTGAAAATATACTGCCCCAATGAAATCCTAATTTAAGAAACACCTTACTACAATGAGGAATCATTTCACACTGGTCAGAATGGCCTTCATTAAAAAGTCTGCAAATAAAAACTGCTAAAGAGAATGTGGAGAAAAGGAAACCCTCCGACACTGGGGGTGGGAATGTGAAATTGGTGCAGCACTATGGAGAAGTGTATGGAGGATCCTCAGAAAGAAAAAACAGTCGCCATACACTCTAGCGACTGCACTCTCGAGCACATATGCAGACAGAACTCTAATTTGGAAAGACACGGGCACCCCACTGTTCACTGAAGCACTATTTACTATAGCCAAGATATGGAAGGAACCTAAGTGTCCATCCAGTGAATGGATAAAGAAGATGTGGTCTACACACACACATACACACAATACAATACTACTCAGCTGTAAAAAACAATGAAACATTGCCATTTGCAGGAACATGGATGGACCCAGAAATTGGTATGCTAAGTGAAGTAAGTCAGATAGAGAAAGACAAATATCATATGATATCACTTATATGTGGAATCTAAAGTAAGACAAAAATGAACTTACTGATGAAAAGGAAACAGACTCACAAACATAGAAAACAAACTTATGACTACCAAAGTAGAAAGGAGGGGGAGGGATAAATTAGGAGTTTGGGATTAGCAGATACAAATGACTGTACATAAAATAAATAAACAACAAGTTTCTACTGTATAGCATAGGGTCCTATAGTCAATATCCTGTAGAAAACTGTAATGGAAAAGAATATGGAAAAGAGTATGCATATATATATACATATATATGTATATATTTAATGTTTTCATTACAACCCCAAACAAAGGGAATGCCAAAGAACCCTGAAATTACCACACGATTGCACTCATCTCACACACTAGCAAAGTAATGCTCAAAATTCTCCAAGCCAGGCTTCAACAATACATGAACCATGAACTTCCAGATGTTCAAGCTGGTTTTAGAAAAGGCAGAGGAACCAGAGATCAAATTGCCAACATCTGTTGGATCATTGAAAAAGCAAGAGAGTTCCAGAAAAACATCTATTTCTGCTTTATTGACTATCAAAGCCTTCGACTATGTGGATCACAACAAACTGTGGAAAATTCTTCAAGAGATGGGAATACCAGACCACCTGACCTGCCTCTTGAGAAATCTGAGCAGGTCAGGAAGCAACAGTTAAAACTGGACATGGAATAACAGATTGGTTCAATTAGGAAAAGGAGTACATCAAGGTTGTATATTGTCACCCTGCTTATTTAACTTATATATCATGAGAAACGCTGGGCTGGATGAAGCGCAAGCTGGAATCAAGATTGCTGGGAGAAATATCAGTAACCTCAGATATGCAGATGATGCCACACTCATGGCAGAAAGCAAAGAAGAACTAAAGAGCCTCTTGATGAAAGTGAAAGAAGAGAGTGAAAAAGTTGGCTTAAAGCTCAACATTCAGAAAACTAAGATCATGGCATCTGGTCCCATCATTTCATAGCAAATAGATGGGGAAACAATAGAAACAGTGAGAGATTTTATTTTTGGGGGCTCCAAACTCACTGAAGATAGTGACTGCAGCCATGAAATTAAAAGACGCTTACTCCTTGGAAGGAAAGTTATGACCAACCTAGATACCATATTAAAAAGCAGAGACATTACTTTGCCAACAAAAGTCCATCTAGTCAAGGCTATGGTTTTTCCAGTAGTCATGTGAGGGTGTAAGAGTTGGACTATAAAGGAAGCTGAGCACCAAAGAATTGATGCTGTTGAACTGTAGTGTTGGAGAAGACCCTTGAGAGTCCCTTGGACTGCAAGGAGATCCAACCAGTCCATCCTAAAGGAGATCAGTCCTGGGTGTTCATTAGAAGGACTGATGCTGAAGCTGAAACTCCAATACTTTGGCCACCTGATGCAAAGAACTGACTCATTTGAAAAGACTCTGATGCTGGGAAAGATTGAAGGTGGGAGGAGAAGGGGATGACAGAGGATGAGATGGTCAGATGGCATCACTGACTCGATGGACATGAGTTTGAATAAACTCTGGGAGTTGGTGATGGACAGGGAGGCCTGGTGTGCTGCAGTCCATGGGGTCACAAAGAGTCAGAGACAACTGAGCGACTGAACTGAACTGATATATGTGGTGTGTGTGTGAAACTGTTTTCTGTATACCAGAAACTAACACAATATTACAGTGAACATCCTTCAATTAAAAAAAAACACATTAATTTCATAACCTCTAAATTGTACTAAGAAAAGTCAGTGGTTCTGTTCATTATTTTCAGTTCTCTGTTAAGAACAAAGCTTCCCACGGTTCAGATGAATCTGTAATCTGGGGTGATCAACATCTTAACTATGTCAAGGTGGCTGTTCCAAGTCCCAGAAAATAAGCCTGTCCCTGGTTATTTAAGTTGAAAATGCATTTGGAGTTTTAATGTTCATGTCCCTGAAATGAAGGCTATTGTTGCTTTCTGGTAAGCACAATCTATAGGGTAGTTGACAGCTTTCTGTATAAACCGCTCTTATGAACTAAACCCTAAAACTGTGTGACATGCACAAAAGAAAGTTTTATTTCTTCTCTGGCTTGGTTGCAAAGGTCACGATGTGTCTAATGGTGAGGAACCATCTGTCTTAAAAGCAGGCAAACAATGACTGTTGTTAAAATTGTATCTTTTTAAAAAGTTTGTATTTTCTATTGAAGTGTGATAGTTTCAGGTGGACAGCAAAGGGACTCAGTTGTACATATACATGTATACATTCTGATTAAGATTTGGACAGGTCATTATTTAGGTTATGTTTCATGAATTGCATGAAATGCATGCATTGCATGTGTGTGTGTGCACCCGCACACACACACACATACACACACACACACAGTATCATGTAAAGTCACAAACCTCTTGGAAGCGGCATATTACTAAAAGTGATGACATTAGACCAATGGGGCTTCCCAGGTGCTAGTGGTAAAGAAACAGCCTGCCAGTGCAAGAGACATCAGAGATGTAGGTTAATAATTTAATAATAAATAAATAAATCATGAGAAATGCTGGGCTGGAAGAAGAACAAACTGGAATCAAGATTGCCGGGAGAAATATCAATAACCTCAGAAATGCAGCTGACACCACCGTTATGGCAGAAAGTGAAGAGGAACTAAATGACTCATTGGAAAAGACCCTGATGCTGGGAGGGATTGGGGGCAGGAGGAGAAGGGGATGACAGAGGGTTAGATGGCTGGATGGCATCACCAACTCGATGGACATGAGTTTCAGTAGACTCCGGGAGTTGGTGATGGACAGGGAGGCCTGGCGTGCTGCAATTCACGGGGTCGCAGAGAGTTGGACACGACTGAGCAACTGAACTGAACTGAACTAATAAATTATTAATTAATTAATCATAAATTTAAAAATTAATAATAAATTAATCAATGAACTCAAATGGACTGGACTGTAGCCCAGCAGGCTTCTCTGTCCATGAGATTCTCCAGGCAAGAATACTGGAGTGAGTTGCCATACCTTTCTCCAGGGAATCTTCCTGACCCAGGGATCAAACCCAGGTCTCCTGCATTGCAGGCAGATTCTTTACCATCTGAGATATCAAGGAAGTCCTAAATAAAAATATAAGGACAAATAACTGGCATAAACAGACTTCATCTAGAGATGATGTTATATTGAGTTGGTCCAAAATTTCCTTTGGGTCTTTCTTTGAGATGTTGTGGAAAAACCCAAATGAAGTTTTTACCAAGTCAGTATCCCTGGGAGAGCTTCCCTGATGGTGCAGACGGTAAAGAATCTGCCTGCAATATGGGATACCTGGGTTTAATCCCTAGGCTGGGAAGATTCCCTGGAGAAGGGGATGGTAACGCACTCTAGTATTCTTGCCTGGAGAATCCCGTGGACAGAGGCCACAGTCCACGGGGTCACAAAGAGTCCGACAAGACTGAGAGATTCATTCTTTCTAATGCTAAGGGGAGTGTGTTTTTCATTCAATCTTTAGTGAATCTTTGACCGAAGGCAGAGTTAGAGCAGTGGGAGAGGCTCTTCTGGAGGGGCTCGGGGCACTGAACCTGGGTGCCCACGACACGGCCGTGACGTCCTGCCAGGAGGACTGTGCCTGGATGACTTTTCCATTGGTGGTTTAAGACGGCCTCACTCGCATGCCACAGCACTGACGTGGCTACTGCGTCCTCTCTGAACCCTGAGTTCCATGGAAGTTTCACACGTAGACCGCCACTTCTTTTCATTTCCTCTGGCCTCATTCTTCTTGTTCCTGGTGCCCAGTGGCACCCTGTGAACCCAGGGTCATGGAGAGCTGGTGAGCAGGTACGACTCGCCAGACCAAAGGCTGATGTGATGCCAGGGAGGGAAGGGGTTTTGGAAATTATTTCCAAGGTCCATACACTGGCCCATTCAATTGTTCTCACTGTGAAACTTCTGAATCCTGGGCAACTTCCTACCCTCTGTGCAACGCTACAATCCACAGGGTGTCAGAGGTGTCAGTTCTCTGTAGGACTCACTGATGCTCTTTATTACACTCAGGCTGATCCACTCTCCTCCTTCCCTGTTTTGCTCATGACTGGTTCATATCTGAGCGAAACAAAGAATTTCTCATGAGGCCCCAGCGACACCTCTTTCCTACCTGGATCATTTACGATTGTCTTATTAGAAGGGCTTCCCATCCCTCTTGAGACAAATGGTTTATCTCTTTTCTTTGATGTTTCGCTTGAGTTCTATCTCATAAATGCTGGTTTTTAAGTTTTTTGTTTATTTTCGGCTATGCTGGGTCTCCGGGGCTGTGCAGGTTTCTCTCTAGTTGAGGCAATCAGGGGCTACTCTCTAGCTTAGGTGCGCAGGCTTCTCATTGCTGCGGCGTCTCTTGTTACGGAGCATAGGCTCAAGAGTTGCTGCACGGCCTAGCTGATCCTTAGCATGTGGAATCTTTCCTCCCTGATCAGGGATTGAACCCTTGACTCTTGTGTGGGCAGGCAGATTCTTTACCACTGAGCCATCAGAGAAGCCTCCATCTCATAAAATCTTAATGATACATACTCAGCCATACTTACTTTTCATTTAAAAAAAAATCAGGCTCATTAGTAATTACTTAGTAATTGCTAATCTTAGTAATTACTCATCTTCCCCATGGCCCAGCTGCAGTCTGGTTCCAACTCTGCATCTTCTCTGTGCTAATTTCTCATGTAATTTAAAACCCACCTTCACCAATTTCTGTTCTGCAGGTATATTACCATCTTCTCTAGAAGTTTCATCTCAGTTTTACCCCGTGCTCTGAAGCTTCCTTTTAAAAGTTTCTTGATTCTTGAGATCCACTAAACACTGTCTAACCTCATCTGTCCCCCTTCTTGGTCTGGTTTGACTTCCTACCTACAGTTGCCCAGCTTTGACCAGCTCTGACCTTCTTCTCAGCACCCGGCCAACCTATTGGAAATTCTTTCTGAGGCCACAGGAAACACACCAGAGACTGGAGGAGGGGAATTCCTGCTTCTGCAAGTCAGCAGGCAAAGTGGAAGGGAAATTCCTTAATCAGAACATGAAACTCAGAATCAGAAAAATGAAGCTGGATTCTCAGGTCTCTCACGAGCTGTATGCTATAGAGCAAAACACAGACCTCAGAGCCTCAGTTTCTCGTCTGTAAAATGGACGCATAGAATCTGCAAACCCAGCCAGAGAATCCTTGGAGTGATCACATGAAACACACATGAGAAAAAGCTTTGCAGTCTGCATGCATTGTTGTTTAGTGGCTCAGTCGTGTCCAGCTCTGATATGAGCCCGTGGACTGCAGCCCGCCAGGCTCCTCTGTCCATGGGATTCTCCAGGCAAGAACACTGGAGTGGGTTGCCATTGCCTTCTCCAGGGGATCTTCCTGACCCAGAGATCGAACCCACATCTCCTGCATTAGTAGGTTGATTCTTTATCACTGAGCTACCAGGGAAGTCTCTACATGGGTAATAGGTTATTATTATTTTGTTACTTTTTTTTTTAATCTCTTTTATTTTGACTGCAGTGGTGAGAAATATACCATTGGAATACTTGTTGGTACACTTTTAGTGAGAAGTTGGAAGGCCAGGTGCTACGTGAAGGTTAGAGAATTAATGATTACAGGACTAGTGATATACTGATTGCCCATCATTCAGTAAATATCACAGTGCCCCTAAAGATACAAATACAGAATGTTTTCACAATTTGAGGGTATGACTTTCTGCAATATCCTTACATCAGTCTGACCTTCTTCTCTGGTTCAAATTTGTGAAGTTTGGCTATAGGTGAGCTTAATACGAATAGTAATTCTCTGGTTAAGTTATTTAATTTTCTTTTCTCTTGGATTAGAATGGAAAACTTCTCTCTGAAAAGAGGAGAAACCCAATTGAACTGGATGAAGTTTATGACTATCACCAGGGCACATATGTGTGTGATTACACTCAGACAGATAATTCAAGTTCATGGACAGTAAGAGCTGTTATTCAAGTGAAAACCATTGGTAAGTGAGATTTTTGGTTTCAATATTTGATATTTCAAGTCTAATTACCCAGTTAAAGTTATCTTCTTTGGCTTAGTGATTTTTTCCTTTTGGGGCCTGAGGGGAAGGAGATAGTCATAGACTATAGTAATGAAAAGCCTGGAATATTGGCAAACATCAGTTTTCCATTAACCCAGCTTCCATCCTCTGAGGAAGGCCTTGTTGTGAATCGTATTCAGGTCACAAGCTGGGTTTTCTATGCACTGATTCTTTGTTTTGTGATACAAAAAACAAAAAACAATATTAGGGACTTTCCTGGTGGTTCACTGGTTAAGACTTTGCCTGCCAATGCAGGGGATGTGAGTTCAATCCCTGGGCAGAGAGTCAAGATCCCACATGCCTGCTGGCCCAAAAACCAAAACATAAAACAGAGGCAGTATCGTAACAAGTTCAATAAAGACTTTGAAAATGATCTACCTCAAAAAAAATCCTAATAAAAAAATGAAAGATTCATGCACAGAAATAAAAAAGATTAAATATTTCGCACATGAGAGATAATACATTTAAAAATAATACTAAATATCTCACACCCAGAGACAAGTGACACTCACGTACCTATCACCAGCTTTAATAATGGTTTTTCCATCTCACTGTTTCTTTATTGAAACAAAATGTTATAGATAGAACTTGAGGTCTGTGTCCCCAGCCCTTCCCACTTCCTCTCTTTGCAGATATAGCCCACTCTTTCCACTTATGTGTTTATGCTTTCGCTACATATGTATATTTCCATTAATAAAGTAGGATATCATTTTATGTTATAAAATGAGATTTGTGCTACAAACACATGAGATTGTTCTTAGGCAATATTTTGCTAAATTACACTCCCGTGAGCAATGCACAGATTCTTATTTATCCCAAATATTAAGAATATTTGGTGGTTTCAGGCTTTCTATTTACATTTTTTGAATTATGAAAGTACAATAATACATTTATAAGAAACTTAGAAAATACAGAACAAAGTTACATATAGTTCTATATATTACAATTACTTTTTTAAGTAGATAGATAGACATTTTTAGTTGGAGTTTGAATATCAAGCTCTCAAAAATTAATAGAATGAATATACAGAGAAGTAGAAGGATATAATAGACCTGAAAACCACTGTGAACCAATTCAACATAATTAAGATTTATACAGCTTTCACACAACAGAATATACATTTCTATTTAAGTTTCCATAGACTATAAGCCAGAAGACACTGGGACATATCCAAGGACATAAAACAAGGTGTAAAACTTTCATGGTCTAAAGGTACCAAAATCATACAGAGTGTGTTCTCTTATCACTGTGGAATTATGCTAGAAATCAATACCAAAAGGTACTTGAAAATAACCCACGTAGTTTCAAGTGCAATGTGACCTTTAGCAAGAGAGATCTTTGACTCAGCCATTGAAAGCCTCAATAAAGTTAGAAGAGGTTTCAGACTTTCTAATTTGTATCAACCGGACTCTCTTTTCCCGTTCCAATTTACGTTTCTCTGACGGCTATCAAAGTTGAATATCCTGTCATTCGTTTCTTGGCCCATTGATCTTATTCTTCTGTGACGTGTCGATTTTCATGCCCAGCTTTCCCTTGGGTCTTTCTCATTAGATTTACAAGTATGCATGGATAAACTATATGATATAATTAATTTAAGTATGGTTGATCTCAAAACATAACCATACAGAACCGTTGACTTAGATCTTAGTAAATCCACTAATTACTTTTACTTCCTCTTCTTTCATTACAAGATACAAACCACATGGATCACCCTGAGACCTGTCTACTTCCTGGCCCTTGCGCTCACCACCACTTTCGATGTCAGTGACTCACATTTATATGAGATTGTTCCTTGGGTGAGGGGTTAGAAGGCAAATAGCTCACTTGGAGCGCTAGCTTCTCCTCCAAGTTCAGTTGCTGTTTCACTCAGGCATGGTAACTCACCCCATCAAACTTTCAGTGGCAGGATTTGCTTTTCTCTCTCCCAGAGGTTGATACCTTGAAATATCCATTGCAACTTTTCATGCCTTCTCTGTCATCATTCCTGTCTTCCTCACTTACTCATTCATCCTCTCATGTATTCATTCTCACACAAGTATTTGTAGAACATCTAATACATTTCAGGCCCTGGGCTTGATGCTAAAGATGTAAGAGTGGGCATCTGGATGTTTCTCTGACCTCCCAGAACTTTCTGTCTTGTGGGACAAACCAGGAGGATTCAGGCTGCTACAGTTCAGTAGGATGAATAGAGACAAAGGGAAGCAGTGCAGCATGTGGAGGCCCATCAAACCCACACCTGGGTACCCGAGCTGCGTAGTGAGGGGCAAAGACAAATCAGTCCGCTGAAGATGGGTAAGACGCTGTTCCAGCCAGAGTCAGCAGCACAGCTAATGTGCGAAAGATGAGAGAGAGCATGGTGCATTCCAGGGAGAAGAAGAAAGTGAGTTGAGAGTATCTGGAAACAGAACTGACACCACACTGTTCTAGTAAGTCTGGACTTTGTCCAAGGAACAACCGGGAGCCACTGAGGGTTCTATGAAGGAGAGTGTCATGAATAGATCTGGTTTTGACATAGATCTCTCTGCTTATTGTGCAGAAGATGGGTTTGGGGGCTCAACAGTGGAGGCAGGAAGAAGAATTAGGAGGCTGCTATGAGTCAAGCAGGCAATTGCTGATGGTGGCCTGAACTAGGAGGGATAGAGGGATAGAGAGAAGTGAATGAACTCCAGAAATATTTAGGAAGTTATTTGTAAAGGGGTTTGGGAATCAGGAGTGAGGAAGAGGGGAAAGGAGGAGTCCAGGATGAGAGCCAGGTTTTAAGTTGGGCGAGGAGCTGGATTTTCTGTATACTGAGGGAAGGTGAGATGGAATGGGGAGGAATGGGATGAGCTGGGATGGGATGGAACAGAATGGGAAGGACAGGATGCGGTATACGGGGCTGGCAGAGGGAACAGGTGAGAAGCAACAGGTTTGAATTATGCTCTTAAGAGATGTCTCTCGTCACTTTTCAGGGGGAGGGGCTGTGCTGGGTCTTCATTTCGGTGTGGGGCTCCTCTAGTTTCGGCGCGTGGACTTTTCTAGATGTGGCTTGGGCTTAGTTGCCCCATGGCATGTGGGATCTTCATTCCCCAGCTAGGGTTGGAACCTTGTCCCCTGTATTGGAAGGTGGATTCTTTACCACTGGACCACCAGGGAAGTCCTCTGTGGTCCCTGTTTGAGCAGACCTAGCAAAGGTGATTAGAGATGGAGTTTAAGTGCAAGATGAAAGAGGGAAATCAAAGATGGTTTACTTTTCTGGCACGATGAGTTGGCAAACAGTGGCATCATGCCATGAGAGAGAAGAACACTGTAAAAGAAGTGAGTATGAGGAAGAAATTCAGTGTTAGCCTTGAAAGGACTTTCAGTCGTCAAGTCACCGTGACAAGTGGGTATTTGGATACACCAGACTGGAATCTAAGAGCTGGAGCTGTGAATGTGAGAATGGTTGGCATATGGTCGAGGGAGACGGGGTCAGGCTGGCAGTGAGGACAGAAAGGAGAGAGCCCAGAGCATCCAGTGCTGGGGGTGAGGGAGCATCTCACAGGAGCTGAAGCAGGGGTGCGAGGACGGAGGAAAACTGCCCCGGAACGCGGAAATAACACGTTGCAAGGAGGGAGTGAGGCTGAGCCTTGTGTGGTGAGACCCGGGAATAGATCACTGGCTCTGGGAAGAGAAGGGTCATTATTTACATCAGCAAGTGGGTATCAGTGGAAGGGCAGGGAGGGAGCAGTAGAGGAAGTGAAACTGATGACGCAGGAGAGAGAACCTTTCAAGGGCAGAGACGGCTCACAGGGAAGGTGCCCGCAGCGCTCTAGCTGCCCCCCGAGGAGAGCAGGTGGAGTGCAGACCGCAGGGACAGAACTGAGGAGTGACGTTCACAAGAGGCAGAGCAGCTTGAGGAGGAGCCCTCAGCCCTTCGTGGAGTGAGCAGAGGCTGGGAGGACAGGCCAGCGTTGGGGGACAGCGATGTGCAACCCAAGGAGGAGCGGAGAGCATGCCCGGCGCAGCCAAGGCTGCCTGCTGCTGTTTAGTCGCTCAGTCATGTCTGACTCTTGTGACCCCCGTGGAGGGTCCCACCAGGCTCCTCTGTCCATGGGATTTCCCAGGCAAGAACACTAGAGCGGGCTGCCATTTGCTTCTCTGGGGGATCCTCCTGGCCTAACTACTAAGAGGGAAAGCAGTTTAAAAACTCAGCCGTGCCCAGGGGATTTTTGTGCAAGGAGGTCACGGAGGTCGCTGGCAACTTTTGCCAAAGGGGTTTCAGTGGAGAGATGGGAGCAGAAATCAGACACATGGGAGGGGAGGGGAGGAAGGACATGAAGACACAGTGATCCTTCCAGAACTCAGCTGGGAAGGAAGGAGAAGGGGTGGGGATGTGAGTTGAAGAGCATTTTTCCTCTGTTTCAAGATGGAGAGACTGGGGAATTCCCTGGATGTACAGTGGTTAGGGTTCCAAGCTCTCACTACTGAGGTTGCAGGTTCAATCCCTGGTCAGGGAACTAAGATTCCTACAAGACACCACAGGGAGCAGCAAAAAAAAAAAAAGGATGGAAAGACCGAGTAAGGATAAATGCTGATGGGAAGAGAGAGAGAGAGAGAAAGTCAAAGATACATGAAGAAGGTGGTGTAATTGAAGGAAGGAGGTCCCTGAGAAGTAGGAGAGGAGTAGAAGGTGCCCAGAGTAGAAGAGATGAATTTTCCTATCTTAGGAGATGAGGCATCTTCAGGAGGGACTTTGACAGTGGTGGCACATTTGAAAGTTTGTGACAGGATGTTGAGGGATAATGATCCATGAAGGGCTGAACTCACCTTTATTTTGAAATAAATCGTAAACTTGAGGATGGAGGGAGAGGTAGACTCCTATCTGGCTGACCTGTGCATTTTCTCAGGTGGGTTCTCCTTCCTGTTCCATTTCTCCAGACGGACCACAAACCAACCTTGGAGGGAAAAGATGAGGGTTCAAGTCTGTGGTTGGCAAGCAGTCTGGCCTGGAAGAAAATGTACCCAGGCAGATATGGACTTATCAAGGATTCATGTTTTGCTAAAACCTGCAACCTGATGTCACAGTCATTTCTGGAAACATGATTTTCACATGCAAACTTCAATTTCTAGCCATGGATTATGGATAAAATTTGGAAAAGGTCCCCCAAATTAGATCAAAACGTGACTGCAGACCAGGCCTTCGGATTTCCAATGCAAATAATGATTTCTAATTTTGTCTTTTAGTGAAGAACACTAATCTCAAACCAGATATTCTGGATCCCATCAGGGACACCTTGGAAGTAGAACTTGGTAAGATGGGTGGGGTCGTCACCCTTGAATGACCTTATCCTTCTGAGAGCAGGTCTAAGTGTGATTCAAGGAAGGACATCAGGATTTCAAGTCAAACAGAACCGGGGGTGAATCTAGATGCGGCCACTGACCTTATTATACAGTTGCTAAATCTCCTGAAGCCAAGGTTTGTAAAGCTGTAACTGGACAAAGCCAAAGTGACCTCACAAAATTGCATTGAGAAATAAGGGTGGCTTGAATGTCAACCATGGATAATAGATTTTTGTAAAAGATTCTTCCTTACTCCACATAAATTGGAACACAGATTGGTTAGGTCCATTAGTTATAGATTTAACCAATTTACCAACTTAGGCAGCACCAAGTATTTATGAATACAGTGTTTGGTTTGGCCTTTAAGATAATCACAGGAGAATACTACAATCCCTGTTTAAATTAGTTGTATTCCAAAGTAGTGTCTTCTTTGGAGTGGAGGGGGAAGCAACTTCTAGTGGTTCTCTTCGATTTTGTCAGCTTCAATAATATCTACATCTTCCCACATGGCCAAATAAGAACTGCTGTCTTCAAAGCCAAGTGCTGATTGCTCCAGTAAAATAAATGCTATTTTAAGTGCTAATAAAGTATTCATTCTTGTAGAAAGAAAGGAAAAAGTAATCTTATTGTAAAAGACCACCGAGTGGCAGTTTCTTTTAGATGCTCATTAGGGCTCTTCTGATGGCTCAGGGATAAGAAACCCAGGAGCCAAAGCCGGAGACACTGGTTTGATCCCTGGGTCGGGAAGATCCCCAGAAGGGGGACATGGCAACTCACTCCAGTATTCTTGCCTGGGAAATCCCACAGAGCAGCTTGGTAGGCTACAGTCCAGGGGGTCACAGAAGAGTCAGACAAGACTTAGTGACTAAACAAGATAATATATTTCACTATGAAAAGAAATGTCAGAATAGATATGGTAAGTTACCACTAGGTGGCGGGAGCGGTATATCCTGATAATGAAACGGGGCTATTGGGCTGGCTAAAAGGTTCACTGGGTCTTCCCTGTAAGACCTTATGGAAAAACCCAAATGAAGTTTTTTGCCAACTCAATAGTACAGGCAACGTCACAAGAATGAAAGGAAGGAGGAAAGAAGGAGGGAAAGCATTAATTAATATAAAAATAGCCAAGTTACCTATGTGCTGTGCTGAGTAGCCTCAGTTGTGTCCGACTCTTTGCGACCCTGTGGACTGTAGCCCGCGAGGCTCCTCTGTCCTTTGGGTTCTCCAGACAAGAAGACTTGGGTGGGTTGTCATGCCCTCCTCCAGGGGACCTTCCTGACCCGGGGCTTGCACCTGAGTGTCTTACGTCTCTTGCATTGGCAGGCGGGTGGTTTACCACTAGCGCCACCTGGGAAGCCCTAATTACGTATGGTACCAGTGAATGTTAAAGCTATTACTGTAAGAAAAGCATTATCAAGGTGTAAAGGTGAGTTTTCAAATGAAGTCCCTAAACTTTATATGGTTAAAATACTGAATTTCTGGATAACGCTTGCCTAGAAAATGGGTAGGAAGAAGGCGGTGTAGTTGCATGCACACCCATCCACAGAGCACAGTTCAAAATAGAGCTGAATATCCAGATAATCACCAAAACCTCAGGATTTTCACTTAACATGCAAATGCTTTTGGCCACCTGATACGAAGAGCTGACTCATTGGAAAAGACCCTGATGCTGGGAAAGATTGAGGGCAGGAGGAGAAGGGGATGACAGAGGATGAGATAGCTGGATGGCATCATCAACTCAATGGAGATGAGTTTGAGCAAACTCTGGGAGATAGCAAAGGGCAGGGAAACTTGGCAGGCTGCAGTCCATGGGGTCCCAGGGTCAGGCACAACTGAGTGACTGAACAACAACAAGAAATGCAAGTACTGCCTATAAAATATTCTTCAGCAACATGCTTGTAACTACTTTAGCAGCAGCGTTGGAAGACGGTGCCAGTCATTGCAACTGCTCACTTTCCTGGTGTTTATCCTGAAACCACATTAGAACTCTTAATGTATGACAATGCCAGTCTCCATCTGGGTAAATATAGTCATAGGTTTGAGATCTAAGTGTTGCCCAGTAGAGACAAACATTCCTGGTTTCACATGTTTCTCAATGAGAGGCAGGTAGACGGTTGGCTATGTCTGGCATGCCTGCCCTACCTGTGAACCTGACCGCTTCAGGGGGCAGTTTCCAGGCAGTGTCTTCCTCCTTCACAGGGCACATCATTCTCACCAGCTGCTTTCCTGTTTTCTGCGGCCCCTTCCTTCTCAGGAAAGCCTTTAACTCTTAACTGCACGGCACGATTTGGCTTCGAAATAAACTTTAATCCTGTGATAAAATGGTACATCAGAGATTCNAGTTCTATTTCCAGCTTTTTAAGAAATCTCCACACTGTTTTCCATAGTGGCTGTACTAGTTTGCATTCCCACCAACAGTGTAAGAGGGTTCCCTTTTCTCCACACCCTCTCCAGCATTTATTGCTTGTAGACTTTTGGATAGCAGCCATCCTGACTGGCGTGTAATGGTATCTCGTTGTGGTTTTGATTTGCATTTCTCTGATACTGAGTGATGTTGAGCATCTTTTCATGTGTTTGTGAGCTCATTTTAAACTTGGGGGGCCCAAGGCAGTTTTTTATGGGCTTCCCTGGTGGCTCAGAAGTACAGAATCTGCCTGCCAAGACAAGAGATGTGGGTTCCATCCCTGAGTTGGAAAGTAGTAGGAAATGGCACCCTCCTTCAGTATTGCTGCCTGGGAAATCCCATGGACAGAGGATCCTGGTGGGGTACAGTCAAGAGGGTCACAGAACTAAATTTTCAGTTGTTTTATTACTTTTTAAATTTATTTTTTATTTTTGGCCTCGTGACTTGTGGGATCTTACTTCCCTGACCAGGGATTGAATCCAGGACCCTGGCAATGAAAGCCCAGAATCTTAACTATTAGACTACCAAGGAAGTTCTCCCCCACCTCCTTTTTTTTTTTTCATACTTTTTTTTTTTTTGGTTGCCCTATGCATCGTGTGGGATCTTAGTTCCCTGACCAGGGATCAAACCTGCATTCCTGTGTTAAGAAATGCAGTCTTAACCACTGGACTACCAGGGAAGTCCCTGAAGTCCCTTTTAAAAAATTACTTAAAATTTTTTTATTTTTAAAAAATGTTATCAGCTGTTTCAAGGTTCTGTTTGTAGAACAGGTTGCTGTGGCTGCTTGGCTCACCAAGCTAACAAGCAGGGACACTGCCCCAGGCTACTTGAATAGACTAGGTGTGTCCAACAGACTGGAGCAGACTCTGCACCCCTGCCAGACACTCGCATCCCCCTGTGCGGTCCTCCCGCCACAGTGGGGTGAGTCAGGGTCCGAACTCTCTAGCCCTTAAGAGCCCAGAGCGTATCCAGAGGAAAAGGCACGGGAATATGCAGTCTGACCGAAATCATGAGACATGAGAAATAGTTGACGGAATCTGACCTGGAAAATGAGACCCAGAGATGGGATAGCTATTTTTTTCTTATTTTTTTATGCATGTCCACAGCAGCTTTATTTACAATGTTGTTGTTGTTATTGTTTAGTTGCTCAGTCGTGTTTGACTCTTTGTGACCCCGTGGACAGCAGCCCATCAGGCTCCTCTGTCCACGGGATTTCCCAGACAAGAATACTGGAGTGGGTTGCCATTTCCTTCTCCACAGGATCTTCCTCACCCATGGACAGAACTTGTGGCTCCTGCAACTGCTGGCAGATTCCTTACCGCTGAGCCACCAGGAAGTCCTTTAGTAGAAGTTCAGTCACTCAGTCGTGTCCAACTCTTTGTGACCCCATGAATTACAGCACGCCAGGCCTCCCTGTCCATCACCAACTCCCGGAGTTTACTCAAACTCATGTCCATTGAGTCGGTGATGCCATCCAACCATCTCATCCTCTGTCGTCCCCTTCTCCTCCTGCCTTCAATCTTTCCCAGCATCAGGGTCTTTTCCAATGAGTCACGTCTTCGCATCAGGTGGCCAAAGTGTTGAAGCTTCAGCTTCAACATCAGTCCTTCCAATGAATAATTAGGACTGATTTGACTGATTTGATCTCCTTGCAGTCCAAGGGACTCTCAAAAGTCTTCTCCAACAACCAGTTATATTCTAGTATAAATGCTTAGTATGATGCTTAGCCAACTCCATCATTTTTTAAAAGTGGTCATCTCTGAGTATCTTGAATCCTTTCAGCATCTCCTTGTGCTATCTGACAGCTCTTCTGAAAGCCGAACAGTTAGTCTGCTTACATAAGTTCCAAAAACTGTTTAATGCATGTCAATCTGTGTTACCCAAGTAGTGTGGTATTTTCCCTCTTTTCCTAGTGTTAAATCCACCTTAAAGGATGAAGTCATAGAACGTGTTGTCTTCTTGGAAAAAGTTACTCAGAGTGATCTTCGCAGAAAGTTCATTTGCTTTGCCCAGAACTCCATTGGGAACACTACTCAGTCCATCCAGCTAAAAAAGAAGACAGGAGGTGAGCCTGAAGGTGGATGCAGAATGCACGCAACTGCTTTTACCTGGGAGGAGAGGAACTTTCCTAAAAAGTAGTCATGGTAATGATAGCACAAACATGCACTAGATGCCAAGGTTCTAAGTATGCACTTTGCTTGTGTTGATTCACTCAATACCTTCAACAAGGCCACGCAACAGTAAGTTTCACATTGGTGATCTAGAGCTAGTCCTCTTACTAACATTTTGCATACAGGGGCTGTGTTGGAAAAACCTGTCATTTGTTCGTTCACTCATTCATTCTTCCTAGAAAGACCTACAGAACATGCCCTACATGACAGGCATCATGCTAGGACCTAGCCCTCTTTCTTATTTTCCTCCCCTGGCTTCCAAATCCGGAGCATGTGATGGTCTGGAGATGGAGAGTGGAGAAGAGAAAGAAGGGAAATGGAGAAAAATGCTCAATTTAGGAGTTATATGTGTATATCACAGATTGTGGCTGGAGAGGAAATTCCTGATAAGGAATGGCTTTTAAATTTCTTTAAGAAGTTCAGAGTTGAAGGTGATATCATTCATTCACCGATGAATTGAGATGCGAAAACAACACTTTTGAAATGCTTGTGAGGCTTCACTAGGACGCACTTCATGCCCGGCGCCTGGTGGATGCTCTGTCGAGGTGTGGGTTGAAGGTGCCATGTGTTAGGTACTTTAGAGGTGAGAAAGCAAGTTGGAAGTAGCTCTGGGCTTCAGGAACTTTAGATTTTAATAGATTTGACAGCACATGAAAGTAAATTATAGTAGGCAATGAGAGGGAAGCTTATCAGGGAAAAGTAAATAAGATTAGTTTTTGTCAGTTTCCCCGGCCACCCCCAATCAGGAACCGGCCATCATCCTGGGTTCTCTTGAGTTCATTTTATGACAGTTCCTTCAAGATGTGGTTTAAGACATGCCCAGAATCGAGAGAAATGTTTTCAGTGGCAGTGATTCCGGTAAATCTCCTCTGGCAGAGGTGCTCGGGTGCTGTGTGAGCGTGGGGGTGTCGGGGGGTGCTCGGCCTCCGTAACTGCTCACCCGCAGCCGCGCGTCTCTGTCCCCAGCGGTGTTCCTGTATGCCCTCCTGGGCACCGTCTCGGCCCTGGCAGGCCTGCTGACCGCAGGCGCGCTGCTCTACACGTACTGGATTGAAATAGTGCTGCTCTACCGAACCTACCAGAGCAAGGATGAGACGCTCGGGGGTAAGCGGCCACCTCACCTCTGCTGTTTCCCCTCTGAATGGACCTAGACGGAGAGAGCGTGGGACAGGCATGTTCCCTGAGGGACAAGGTCATGGCCCCCAGCTGCTGGTCTGGTGGCTTTGCATCTGGGAGGGTTGGGACCCCAGGGGAGAAATGACCTCTTCTCATTCCAGTTACTAGGAATCTTGCCAACAATGCTATTGTAGGACATCTTGGACTTAAAAATGACTGTCCAGTTGACATCCTAAAGCAAGATGGTGGATGACTTAGCATCTCCATGCCTCCTTCGTTTTCTCTTCTGTAAAGTAGGGTTGTAACCACTATGAATGCCATGTGGGCTCGCTGAATGGACACCCTGAGGGTTTAGAACAGCATCTAGCACATCGTAAGCACACAGGACGTGTCAGCTCCGGGCTTCCCAGGTGGCACTTTTGGTAAAGAATCTGCCTGCCAATGGGAATTGGCAGAATCCAACCCCTTGTGTTGGGAAGATCCCCTGGAGAAGGGCATGGCAGCCCACTCCAGTATTCCCGCCTGGAGAATCCCATGGACAGAGGAGCCTGGTGGGCTGGAGTCCATAGGGTGGCAAAGAGTTAGACACGGCTGAGTGAGTGAACACACACACATAGCTGCTTTACAATGTTGTGTTAATCTCTGCTGCACATCAACGTGAATCAGCTGTGTGTACATGTATATCCCCTCCATCTAATAATACTATTTGAGAGGCATTATGCAAAGGGCTGGAAAATGAGCCAGTTATGTCCAATTTCAGAGCCCAGAGGCTAACTTTTGGGATTTTCTAGTTTCCATTTAGTTCTACAGCACACCTTAGAATCTATGTGTATTTATAATAGTTGAGTCAACAACGGCATTTGTTGTTACTGTTGTTTGGTCGCTGAGTCCTGTCTGACTCTATCTGCATGGACTGTAGCCCGCCAGGCTCCTCTGTCCATGAAATTCTCCAGGCAGGAATACTGGAGCGGGTTGCCACTCTTCTCCAGGGCATCTTTGCCACCCAGGGATCAAACTCAAGTCTCCTGCATTGTAGGCAGATTCTTNCTCCAATATCCTTGCCTGGAGAATCCCATGGACAGAGGAGACTGGTGGGTTACAGTCCATGGGGTCACAAAGGGTCAGATCCAACTGAGTCGCTAAACAAGGATCCCAAGTCTTAATTCCTCTCCACTTACCATAAGGCTTGAGCTTAGGTAGGTATTTACATTCTTTCTTGTTCCTCTTTCTCAGACCAAAAGGAGTTTGACGCCTTTGTATCCTATGCGAAATGGAGCCCCTTTGAGTGCGAGGCCTCTTCTTCTCTAAGTGAGGAAACCTTAGCCCTGAATCTTCTCCCTGATGTTTTGGAAAACACATATGGATACACCCTGTGCTTGCTTGAAAGGGATGTGACCCCCGGGGGAGGTAGGTCTGCAGCCTGCAGAAAACGCAGAAGGAGAGCTACAGGCATGCACTCTCGGTGTTGTCCTTCATTCTTTCTCTTGGGCTACGGGAAGGTTTCATGAGCTTAGAACATCCTGGGCAACAACACAGAAAGCCATGTGTTGCAGAGACATGCTCCATTGTGGGGGAAAAAAAAAAATCCATCTTCAGGGAAAAAAAAAAAATATTGGAGCCCAGAGAGACATCCAGAACAAAGATATCTTTTCTGGCTCCTCAACCGAAAGTTAGTCCTGTCCTCCCAAATGAGTGATCCCTCTTCTTCCTGGGACTGCCAGCCACAGACTCATCATTGGGCCCGGCAGGCTCCCAGGCCGGGCACCCATCAGATGTGCAGACCTCATGCATCTCACCATCCTCCTCTGCCTCAGAGGCCCCCACCCAGGGGCCAGGGACATTACATGCCCCTCCCTCATTCCAGTCAACTTTGTTCCAATGAGTTTTGATCCAGGAGGGACTGAGAAGATGAGGGGAGAGAATGCAGGGGAGGAAGCTGACACCAACAGTCACTAGACTAGGAAGTGTATCTCCAACTGCCTGTAGAGTTAGTTGATGCAGTAGAAGTGATCAAGAAAACCAGGCTTCTCCTCTACTTGGCCATGGCAAAGAATCCCGCTGGGTGGATCTGGGAGGTTCAAGGTTACGGTGACTCAAGGTTTAACAATAACAATTGCAAATAATTAAATTCCTTTTCTCTCCAGTGTACACAGAGGACATTGTCAGCATTATTAAGAAAAGCAGGAGGGGAATCTTCGTCTTGAGCCCCAGCTATGTCAGTGGACCCAGCATCTTTGAACTACAAGCAGCAGTGAATCTGGCTTTGGAGGATCAAACACTCAAACTGATTTTAATTAAGTTCTCTTCCTTCCAAGAGCCAGAGTCCCTACCTCATCTAGTGAAAAAAGCTCTCAGGGTTTTGCCTACTGTCACCTGGAAAGGCTTAAAATCAGTTCCTCCCAACTCTAGATTCTGGACCCAAATACGCTACCATATGCCTGTGAAAAGCTCCAGGGGAGTCACTTGGAACCATCTGAGAATTATCCCATGGATTTTTTCTCTGGAAAAGACAGAACCCACTGGGAGGAGCTCCCAGCCTGGAGGATGGTAAAATGGATGCTGAACTGCCTCCCCCTGCCTCCCATCCTGTCCCTGGTGAGCAGAGACCTTGATGGATGAAACACACAGCACACACCTGGCTGATATCACCGGGAAGGGTCCTGCCAGCCCTGAGCAAGCTTGGTCAGCACTGGAATGAATGGAAGCTGTGGTGCAGGGCTCTGATTCCCTGGACAGGACAGAGAGAGGGAGAATTCTCCAGACTACTGCACACATTCAGCCCACAAAGTCCCTAAGATTTTCCTAGTGGTCTGAGCAGAATCGGCAGGTACTGCCACTTGGTTTTGTGGCCATGGACTGTTGTGTCTGTTATGTATCTTACACATCACTTTTTATATCTTTGCAATCAAATAAATATTACTTTATTAGAAACAAGTGATTGAAACTGTCAGAAGCATCTCTGTCAAGAAGATGATTCTTATTCTGTGTTTGCCATTCACTGGAGCCCAGAATGCAAGGAGGAAAAGAGATACCAGGGGTCAAGGACCAGACAGGACCTTGCTTCATCTCTACTGTGTCCTCGAGGGAACTAGAAGGAAGACCCACTTCTTCTTGGCTGACACAGCCCTAAGTCAGGACACAGGCCTTAGGGAGCAGAGTGGGGTTAATTTCAGTTCCTCCTTGTCCCCTGGCCTTTGTACAGGGCCTGAAGTCCATGCTTTACTCTGGATCACAGGAAGTGGGGACCAATTAAGCCAACGTGATTTGGCCAATGCAGAGACAAGGAACCGACTAGTGGTTTTGCATGCATGCATGTGTGTGTGTGTGTGTGTGTGTGTGTGTGTGTGTGTGTGACGTCACTTCAATCCTGTCTGACTCTTTGCAACCCTGTGGACTGTAGCCTGCCAAGTTCCTCTGTTGATGGGATTCTCCAGGCAAGAATACTGGAATGAGTTGCCCTTTCCTTCTCCAGGAGATCTTCCTGACCCAGGGATCTTATGTGCAAAATACCGTGTTGGCCTGAAAGTTCATTCAGGTTTTTCCATAAGATGTTACAGAGCTTTTTGGCCAACCCAATAGAAAGACAGTGGCAAGAGGCAGCAGCCAAGACAACAGTCTGGGAAATAATTGTCTACACTGGTTAACAGACAGCAGTATTAGGGCTTGAACAGTGCTTAAGTCTGAACCACTGGCCCACTGAGACTGGGGGTCCCCATGTGCTTCCTGACCCTCTGGTCTCCGTGTGTTCCTCCTAAGTGATGGACCATCCGCTGGCGGACCAAGTACCTGTTTCTCCTGCACAAGGCTCATTTCATTCTCACCAGTGCGTTTTCCTGATGAGAGTTCAACCTGCAGTTAAAACAGTGTTCTCGTCACAGGCGGATGTCCGAATGTCATGCTCTGTCTTCCCCATTTGTTGTTGTTGTTCAGTTGCTCAGTCGTGTCCAACTCTTTGCAAACCATGGACTGCAGCACACCAGGCTTCCCTGTCCTTCACTATCTCCTGGAGCTTGCTCAAACTCATGTCCGTTGAGTCAGTGATGCCATCCAACCATCTCATCCTCTGTCTCCCCTTTCTACTCCTGCCTTCAGTCTTTCCCAGCATCAGGGTCTTTTCCAATAAGTCGGCTTTTTACATCAGGTGGCCAAAGTATTGGAGCTTCCCCAATAGAAGGGAATGATTCGTTTGTGCAGTAAAGCAAAGCAGCTTCTGGGCTGATTGACACATTATGTGTCCCATTCACTGGTATGAGCGTGATCCAGGTCTAAAGTCATTGTCATATGGCCACGGCTTAGTGCCTGCGGAAAGGCCCTGACGTATCTTTGCACAGAGGCACCCACATCACAAAAACCACGGTGGCCTGGCGTCTAGCAGCATCCTTGTTGGGAATTTCAGTGATACAGTTAAAGATGAGTTCCAGGGTACAAATTATTCCTGGACGGAGCTTCTTGTGGGAAGCCTCATTGCAGGGTCTCAGAAGGGAAGGAGGCACACAGCCGTTGTGCCATGGGGTCAGGGGGATGACCCAAGTCCTTGGTTTTCCGGTCGGTCACTCTCAGAGACCTAAGCCTCAGAAATCTCTTTTGGCCAGTTTATCCAGGTTTCTTTTATTCTAGAATAAGCATGGCCATAACTGATATTTCCGGAGGTCCAGAGTTTTGTTCTTTTTAAAATACTTACTTATTTATTTATCTGGCTGCGCTGGGTCTTAGTTGCAGCATGTGAGATCTTCAACCTTCAATTTGGCATGTGAGATCTTTAGTTGAGGCATGTGGAATCTATTTCCCTGACCAGGGATCACACCCAGGCCTGCTGTATTGGGAATGCTGAGTCTTAGCTACTGGACCACCAGGAGTCCTTGGAGTTTTGTTCCTAGATTAACCAAAGCTTATTTCTGCGTACACACAATAAAGAAACTAGGTCTACCACTGACAGAATACACTCTTTCAGGCAAATAGGTGCAACTGAGGATGACGAATTAACATTTAGGATAAAGCTTTGTTTATATTTCTTACAGGTAATTCAATCAAATAAGGTGGACGGCCAAAACAAATGTATATACAGGAGACTGATGGTAATTAAACAATTGATCTCGGTAAAATACATCGTGAAGGAATCATTGTTTTTTCCCACCGCACCTTCTAAATAAGGTGCTCATTTGTTCTGGTTCTGCTTTACACCTGTTGCCCAAGTAGTTTTCATAGGGAGAGTATAATTTCTGATTCTGAAAATGTGTCCCACTTTAGAGGGTGGTCATCTTTCCTCTAGGGCACGTTATAGAATGGTCTTTTCCGACCCTGGGTGATATCTCAGGCAGATCAGACAATGTCCCTGGTCTCACCTGGGTTTTAATACCCACATTGACTATCTATATTATTGCCTTTCCAGACTGTAGTACCAGATAAGATGGAGTAAACATTCAACCACCTTTTCCCCACTCATTGTAGCTATGAAGCTTGGATTAGATGCATATAGAAATCAGTTTGATTTTTAAAATATGACACGAACGAACCTATCTATGAAACAGAAACAGAATCACAGACATAGAGAAGAAACTGGTGGTTGCCAAGGGAGCAGGGGTTGGAGGAAGGATGAAGTGGGAGGTTGGGATTAGCAGATGTAAGTTTCTATACATAGGATGGATAAACAACAAGGTCCTCCTGCATAGCACACAGAACTGCATTCAATATCCTACGATAAAACATCATGGAAAAGAATACTGTAAAAGGTATATATGTATACATATACATATAATTTACACTACTGAGTACCTGCTTGGTTTCAAGAGCCTACATCTCTGTGGTGGGGGGCAAGGGGAACTGTCCATTTTGATTCATGGAGTTGTGGTCTCAGGAGGGTGTGGCCACCATCTCTTGATCCTTCTTTCTTTCCTCTTACCACCTGGTGGGAGCGCTGGAAGCCACGGAGGGAAATGCACTGCAGGGTGGGGTGCTTAAGAGCAGCAGCACTCTCGCAGAGGGAACAGGAGATCTGTAGAAGCTGAAAGTACCTTGCTGAGTGCAGACAGAAAGGCACTCAGGAAAGCAAACCCTTAAAGCTGCTTTCAAACTTCAGGGCTCACCCCCAGGCTTCATCGGCGTGAATCTGACCCTAAATAGAACACCATAAACTCTGAGAACTGAACTATAAGATAGACTGCTCCCTGAGTTCCAGGGACAAGTCCCAACAGAGCTGANGGGCCGGGCGGGGGGTGGTCCATCGTGGGCCAGAGGCTTAAGCTGCATGGTGTCCAGGACAGATGAGAGATGGTTGACTCTGTGTGTCCAGCCCAGGAGGGGCCCCAGCAGACATCACACACCCATGCTGCTGAGAGATGGGGCAGCAAGAGGAAGAAAGACACGGAACACAGCGGCAGGAAACAGGAAGCCTGTCCGGCACGGTCCCTCCAACTCCCTCTGCTGATGGAGCCACACAGTGCTCCCCATAAGGAATAAATGCTTCAAAAACCAAGTCCATTCCGTGGAGCAGGTACTGAATGGTGAATTTGGGGCCAAGAGGTAATCAAGTGATTCCTGGCATAGCATGCACCAATCCATCAATAGCTGTACATGCAAAAATTAAGTACTTCTCAGCAATAGAAGAGAATGTACCACTGAGACACACAACAGCTTGGCCGAAGCTCACAGCATGATGTGCGTGCGTGCATGCTAAGTCACTTCAGTCATGTCTGACTCTTTGTGACCCTGTGGACTGTAGCCCGCCAGGCTCCTCTCTCCATGGAGTTTCCCAGGCAAGAATACTGGAGTGGGTTGCCGTGCGCTCCTCCAGGGGATCTTCTGGACCCAGAGACTGAACCTGAGTCTCTTATGTCTCCTGGATTGGCAGGTGATTTCTTTACCACTAGTGCCACTTCAGAAGCCTGTTGCTGTTTAGTTGCTAAGCGTGTCCAACTCTGCGACCCCATGGACTGTAGCCCGCCAGATGCCTCTGTCCATGGGATTCTCCAGGCAAGAATACTGGGGTGGGCTGCCATTTCTTTCTCCAGGAGATCTTCCCGACCCAGGAACTGAACCCACATCTCCTGCATTTGCAGGCAGATTCTTTACCACTGAGCCACCTGGGATATATATACATATATAAATGATTCAATTTACTGTAATAACAACATTGTAAAGCAATTATATGCCAATAATTTTTTTTAAAAGAATCTAAAATTCATCTGGTGGCTATTATGTACTAAGTATATTCCTCTCAGACATGTGTTGTATCACTTAATCTTCACATCATCTTTAAGACAGTCACCATCATCACCACCATCACCATCATTATCATAACCACCATCATCAATAAGGCAGTTGAAGCCCTGTGGTGTTTAGAAGATGCTTAGGATCACATAACTTCAACTTTCTTCTCTCTACAAAATCGCTATTCCCTTAGGGAAGCGATCACATTAGAATTGTAAGACCAAGCCAGGAGCCACACTCTGGTGTGAAGACGTGTTTCATTTCAGAGCTCATATTCACGCCCGCCCAGCCACCTGCACCACCATGGTGCCTCTCCTCTCCTCACACTGGGGACGCTCCCAGAGTATCCTGCACCCTTCCGCAGCGTCCTCTGTTCCCCTGAGGAGTGGAAGTTTGACTTTGGGGAGCAGAGACAGAGCTCGGCTCTTCTGTCCTGAGAGCGGGGTCAAAGCTCTTGACTTCACTCCAGCGTGGGATGCAGGCTTTCAATTTAGGGTGTGACGTGCCAGCCCTTGATCTGAGGCCATCCAGCTTAATTGCTAGTTGCGGGCTGGGAAAGCAAATGGTGTTTCTGCATAGCACTGGCCAATTCTCTATCACTGCTTTCTTCTCCTTTCTTCCTAAAAAAAGAATCAAATTTGAGCCCCAACAAAGTAACAAGAGCTTTGGGGCAAGCGATGGATACTTCAATTCCAGAAGCATTTTATACCGCCTACTAGGGGAAAGAAGAAAAGATGTGCTGGTCATTTTGTTTAAAACCATTCTTGGAGGAAGGTGATTATCTAATTAACCATGAGCAGGCACAAAAAAGTCAATTCTGCTCTTTCAGAACAGAAGTGGCTTTGTGAAACTGAGGGTAAAAAGGAAGAATACCAGCACCCCACCACCACCTCAAACTTTGTCCAACTGTGCACAGTTGAAGTTCTAGGTGAAAAGAGATTTCTCTGCTGTGTGCATCAACCCTTAATTAGTTTCTTGAGGGTGGACCGGATTTGGTCACTTAAATTACAAGGGATCCACTGGGAAGAGGATGTCATTCCCTCCACACCACTGGACTCCATGAGTAGATGGGTTTAGAAGAGCAGATGACAAGGATCACAAAGATTCTTGGGATCTGGCACCAAAAACGGTCAGAGGAAGCCAGGTTTCTACTGCTAATACAGTCATCAGACAATTAAACCAAAAGCTTCAGATGGGTCAGTAGTTTGCTGACCTAAAATTCCATAAAAATTCCTTTGGTGCTCTGCTTTGCANCTCCTCCTGCCTTCAATCTTTCCCAGCATCAGGGTCTTTTCCAATGAGTCAGTTCTTCACATAAGGTAGCCAAAGGATTGGAGCTTCAGCTTCAGCATCAGTCCTTCAATGAATATCCAGGACTGCTTTCCTTTAGGATGGACTGATTGGAGGATCTCCTTTCAGTCCATGGGACTCTCAAGAGTCTTCTCCAACACCACAGGTCAAAAGCATCAATTCTTCGGTGCTCAGCTTTCTTTATAGTCCAACTCTCACATCTATACCTGACTCCTGGAAAAACCATAGCCTTGACTAATACTTGTTACTTAATTGAACCTTCCAAGGTGTAGTACTGAGGCTGCCCACGAGGTGTCAGCAGTGTAACTGCCAGAGAACTCAGGGAAAGCATTTCATTACAGAAGTCAAATCTGAACAAATAATTAAGTGTGGGTCAAGAGCTACCTGCAGCCTTGGCCATTCAAAACAAGGGAGCTAGCAGGGGAAGGAGAGAAGGAGCAAGTGCAGCCCAGGTTTCTGGGAGAGAGGGAAGGACCCTCTTCCTGGTTAGGAGGGTCCTAGTGACTCCTGGAATGCGTCCCATGGTGTTCTTTTTAATTTTCGCTCACAAGATGAAACCAGTGTGCAGTGAAGTGAGGAAACAGCTTTAAAGGAACAGGTATTTCTGCTTCACAAATTGCTCTTCGAATCATGATCGGATGGAAGTCACACAGGTAGTTAGTTCCCCGGGCTTTCTCGAGTCTGTTGAGTGACAGGATGCATTTGAGTCAGAGGCTGTGTTGCCTGAGCGCAAATGCTCTAAAGGTGACCCGAAACCATCTATACTCGGAACTCAGTGACACGCTCGGGCTCTTCCTGGAATGACCCACGGACTGTGTGTGCACCACCTGTGACTCAGGTGGAGGCTGGCGCGCTCTGAAAATTCTCCTCTCTTCACAAGAGCGGCGCATCACGGCGCACGCCCCGAGAGGAGCCCCCAGCATGCGCGTCCAGGCTCTTGTGCCTTTTGGTCCTTGGAGTTGGTGCCTGTTCCTAGCGACCCTCCACTGTTGCGGAGCATCTTCCAAGTTGAACAGATCCACAGATTCCTCNCCCCAGCATGCGCGTCCAGGCTCTTGTGCCTTTTGGTCCTTGGAGTTGGTGCCTGTTCCTAGCGACCCTCCACTGTTGCGGAGCATCTTCCAAGTTGAACAGATCCACAGATTCCTCTGCCCAGCGTGAGCTTAATGTTCGGTTTGCTGCTGCCAGCTCCCAGCCAGCCGAGACAATATCTGTCTTCACATTGGATTATGACTACGTGCAAATTCCCTACGAGGTCACCCTCTGGATACTCCTAGCATCACTTGCAAAAATAGGTAAGGGCTCCGAGTGTCTTACCTGGTTTGGGAAGTTGTTTTCTATGTGAGATAATGTATATGAAAATAAATGCCTTGTAGAGGGTGGGTCAAGTGGATTTTAACTATTGCTGCTATTACATAAAAATCTATTCTCTTGACTCAAGGGGAAGTCATAACTGATTTTTGTCTGGCCATTTATTGCTTCAGGTTGTGCTATGAAATTTAAGAACCTACTTCTGGGCTCCAGGTTGTTTCTATTTCATCTCCCTTCAGGGTGATAGCCACGTGACGTTATTTGGTATGTAAAAATCTCAAGTTCTGTGCGTTAAGAAATGCGGAGTAAAGTATGCTGACCTTGGGGTGATGCCCACTGGAAATTTTAGGACCCACATAATGATTCTTCTGTAAAATGTGCTTTTTTCATTCTTGGCTATGGAACCATGGGCTTCGTCAATGACTCTCTTTGTTCAATTTTAAAAGTGGTGTGTGATCCTTGAAAATTGACAGAAACCAGGAAACAAGGCAACCAGTGGCAACTTATATCCCTCAGCGATGAGAGAGGGTGGAATGAGAGATGGTATCTGTCGGTAAAATCTTGGTTTACACCTGAGCCAAGAGGAGCCAAGGGAGACTTGTTTCTTCTGCGACATAAAGTGGATTCAAGCTAATGGGTGAAATTCTAGCCAGGGTTCTTACTGCCTCCAGCCAAAGTGATGGATTCCACTCTGAGACCATTTAATCCCCAACTTCACCCCCTTGTCTCCTTAAAAACAGGTATTCCAGAGTGGAAAGCGGATACAATTTTCTCAATGGTCAAGCGTAACATCTCCTTTGCCTTAGTGATAAACTTTGTTATTTGAGTAGATAGATTGTCTCACTGAAGGAGACATAATGAAGTGTGTTGGTGGTTATTTATATGTTTTATCTGGAATGGCTGTGAAGTGTGAGTTAAGCCAAGAAATCAGACAGTTCACTTCGGATGCTGGCCATTTCAGTGAACTCTTTCCTCGTGGATGTTGCGGGCACTGGCATATTCATTAGCTGCCCTTCATAACTGCCATTCATTTTGAGCTCATCAGGTATGAAGATAAATTGTCAGTTTGAAGAACTCTTGTGCGGTCACATGACCCAGTGACACAGAGGGTCTCACATTATTCCTGAGAGGTGCTCGAGTAATCATGGGGTTTCCCAAGGGGATGATATTCTCGCTTCAGAGCTAGGGGCCTACCACCTTTCCTGCAGCCACACTGATGCTAAGAATAGTCCAAGTGATCTTCTGTGACCTTGAGGAGTCCTTTGTCAAAATGCCAGTGATTCTGGTCCCACCCATTCCCTTCCTTTCCACAGGAATGTGTGAAGTTGGTCCGGAACCAGGAAACTAAATCCGCCACTGACTAGCTAGTCACGCTGTCTTTTTTAATCTCCATTTGTTCATCTGTGAAATTATTCCTAAGATCTCTTCTTGGGGCAAATAAGGGTTTTCTAATGGAAAAGAAGCTTCCATTCTATGCCACTAAACATCTCAGTGCACACGGTGTATGTGTTATACCAGCAGAGAACACAGACAGGGCTTTAGAGGTGTTGCATGTGCCCAGACTATGTCTACAAGTTGAGAGGCCTGTGAGGATGCTGTTCATTGACCTGCTGCCTAAATGATCTTTATTCTCATGTGGATGCAACTCAACATGCTATAGAAAAAGAAGACAACCAAAGTGGGTTATCAGTTGGAGCATGCCTATTGAAAAACAATGTCATATTTGCTGGCCTTTAAGAATTTGGATTATTTTTGTATTGTACATGAAAAGAGGGCTTCCCTGATAGCTCAGTTGGTAAAGAATCTGCCTGCAATGCAGGAGACCCCAGTTCGATTCCTGGGTTGGAAAGCTCCCTTGTAAAAGGGAAAGGCTACCCACTCCAGTATTTTGGCCTGGAGAATTCCGTGGACTGTATAGTCCATGGGGTTGCAAAGAGCTGGACACAACTGAGCGATTTGAAATGAAAGTCAAATTTAGTGAATCCATAGCGTGATCCAAGTCCTGGGCTTGTAGCTTTATCGTTGTTGCTGTTCAGTCGCTAAGTCGTGCCCGTTTCTTCACAACCCCACGGACTGCAGCACGCCAGGCTTCCCTGTCCTTCACAACCTCCCGGAGTTTGCTCAAACTCATGTCCATTGAGTCAGTGATGCTACCTAACCATCTCATCCTCTGTCGCCCCTTCTCCTCTTGCCCTCAGTCTTTCCCAGCATCAGGGTCTTTTCCAATGAGCCAGCTCTTCGAACCAGGTGACCAAAGTATTGGAGCTTAAGCTTAGCAGCAGTCCTTCCTATGAATATTCAGGGTAGATTTCCTTTAGGATTGACTGGATCCTTTATATATGATAGCAAAAAAAATAATAATAATAATAATAATGACATAAACTTAAACACTTAAGGAGTCCACAAAGATTTTTTAGATTCTATATTATAAAGCTTGAATCAAAATATGATTAATAATTGCTAGTATTATCATTCATTCTTTTATTCAGTCTTTCTACCAAGACACATGTATTGAGTGCCCAGGCAATGTGTGGAATCATTTTGGTCCCCAGCTTCAAAGGAGAAGATGGGTGAGTGAGTCTAGTCCTGCCGCATAGGTGCTCCAACAAGGGCCATCTTTGACTTTCAGGCAGGACTTAGTTATCTGTGGCCATTTACGTTTCAGGCCCTGAAACTGTAAAGTCTAAACGTGAGTGACTGTTTTGTCCATTATGGAAAGGAGAAGAGCTGTGAAATGTGAAGTTCACCCAGTATTGCCCTGAAAGGGCCCTGCTCACAGGCCAAGTCCTCTTCCTGCTCTGTGTGTAGAGGCACCCTAGGTTCAGGCAGGTGATGCGGGCTCATTTCGGGAAACTCAATTCATGCAAGCAGGACTGCCCAGGGGAGACACAGGGCCTGGAAAAAAATCACATGGGGGCTCTTCTGCCTGCCTTACATATTAGAAAAGTTAAGTGTGATTAAAATAAGCATTCACTGAAGAAGGAAAAGGAGCAAGAGAGGGGAGAAGGAGAAGAAGGAAGCTGTTAGTAAGAAATGGAGAGCGCTTCCCTGGGGGTCCAGTGCTTAAGAATCTGCCTGCCAGTGCAGGGAACACAGGTTCGATCCCTGGTCCGGAAAGATCCCACATGCTGCGCGGCAACCGAGACTGTGTGCCACAACTACTGAAGCCTGTGCACCACAGCCGTGCTCTGTAACCAAAAAAGCCACCACAATGAGAAGCCTGGGGACCGCAACTTGAGAGTAGCTTCCACTCACCTTAACTGAAGAAAGCCCTCATGCAGCAAAGCTGCACAGCCAAAGATAAATAAATAAGAAAAAATAAGAAACAGAGAAAGCAGCACTCTAGAGGGAGAACTTAAACTGGTCTTAAAGCCAGTGGGTGGGGGGTGTGGTTTGGCGTGTCTCTGGATACTAATTAAAGTCCATTGTATTAAGCTGCCTGCTAATAGTAAATGGAGAAATTCACAGCTGTGGTCAGGGAAGCCCACAAGCTCTGAATCTGAAAATTCCTAAGATCTTCCATGGCCCCCAAGGCCAATGGGAGGGAGAAAGGAAATGGCAACCCACTCCAGGATTCTTGCCTGGAAAATCCCATGGACAGAGGAGCCTGGTGGGCTACATGCAGTCCGTAGGGTTGCATAGATTCAGACACGACTGAGGGACTAACACTTCGTCTTTAGCCTTGAATTTCACAACCTCCATTGTTTAGCTCAAAATCATCTTGCAACTCTTCCCCTAATAATCTTCCCAATTAAAATGTGCTCCAGTCAGATTGTTGCAGGGAAGAACAAAATCTGACTACAGGTCGGATCTGTTTCTTTTACTTTAACCTTTGCTTCTCGTTGCGTCTGTTCACTCAGATGATTCTGTCTGTACAGAACGGCCTGCCTCGGTGAACCTAGCCCCTCGGCCTGAAGGTTAAACCAAAGTGCCTTTGTTCAGGGAAACCCCCTGACTGGGTCCACCTGTGGATGGCTGCAGGAAGGAAGAAATTAACACATCCCCTCCCAACGCTAGCCACCCCAGGAGAAATTTGCAAGATTATAGGGCTTTTTACTTTAATTCCTCACCTCCTCTGTCTCTGTGTTTTACAAAAGAAACTGGCATCCAGATCCCCAAAGAGAGTTATTTTGAGACACTCTTTTGCCATCTTCTCCATCTGCCAACTTTCCAAATAAAGTTGCCATTCTTTGCCTCAACACCTCATCTCCTAGTGCAGTGAGCAGAGCAAGCTTGGACTCAGTAACGAGGTGAATCTACTCAATGAACGAAGATATTTTTGAAACTATCTAGCTGGGCTATTCCTGACTCTCCCCTATTTCTCTCGGAGTTCTCCCCTTCTAAAATGCCTTCCCTTTGGTTATTCGACTGTGTAAGTCCTTGTTGTTGCTCGGCTGCTCAGTCGTGTCTGACTTTTTATGACCCCATGGACATGTTTCCCTTCACTGGGGATTCGACACCCAGATATACATGGTGTAGAACATCTAGCAGCAGGAGGTGGAATGGGCTGGGAGATGGGGGGTGAAGTAGGAGGTCAGGAAGACACTGCAGTGAGTGGATGAGAAGTGGGGAGGCCCCGCTCTCCGTGAAAGCCACAGGAGTGGAGAAGAGTAGATATGCATCATGGGCAGCGAGTGGAAGACGTAAGTGATAAAATAGGTTGCTGCTGCATGAAGGAGCGGAGGTGATGGGGTCCCTATAAGAATGCCACTTGACTGCCTATTAAGTGGCTGACTGTGTGGCAGCGTCATTGGTTAAATCAGGGAAACAAAGATTTTTCATCTTTATTTATCAGTTTGGTTGAGAAGGAGGTGTAAGTTTGGAAGGAGCTGGCGTTAAATCCCCATGATAGACTTTTTTTAAGTTAAAAATGCTTGTTCTATTTTAATTTTAGTTGAAGTGCAGGTGTATATATAAGTTACAGGTATACAACATAGTGATTCATAATTTTTAAAGGTTATATTCCATTTATGCACAGGTGCTAGATCTTCAGTTGTGTCCAACTCTTTTCAACCCTATAGACTGTAGCCAGCCTGGTTCCTCTGTCCATGGAATTCTCCAAAGAAGAATACTGGAATGGGTTGCCATTCCCTTCTCCAGGAGACCTTCCTGACCCAGGGATCAGAACCTGTGTCTTTCTCATCTCCTGCATTGGTAGGCGGGTTCTGTACCACTAGCACCACCTGGGAAGATATGCTCTATTTATAGTTATTATAAAATATTGGCCGTATTCTCCACGCTGTACAATACATCCTTGTAGCTTAAGCTTCACCTAGTGGTTTGCACCTCTTACTCCCTACCTATATCTTACCCTTCCCCTGTCCTCCTCCCCACGGGTAACTACTAGTTTGTTTTCTATACCTGTGAAGTTGCTTAGTTTTTGTCAAATTCGCTAGTTTGTCCCTCAAGACTCTAGCTTGAGCTTCAAAGTTTTGCATGAGAGCAGAATTCTCCCTCTCATAGCCCTCAGGATGGAGGAGGCAGAAAGCAGGAGGAGGCAGGAGGGCACAGAGAGACTGAGAGGATTCTAAAACCTGCACAGGGTGTGGGAAGCACTTGATCTTGTCAAGCTCCAGCCTTGACAGGGATGCTGAGGCTGGGGAATGCATACTGGCTTGCCTGGGTACCCATCCGCGTCACTCTGAAAGGCCCCTGGCACCCACCTCCCCTGGTGTCCCAGCGGCCAGAGCCGGGTTACCTGCCCACCTCTCATCGTGGTTCTCTGCTCCGCAGGCTTCCACCTCCACCGCAGGCTACCCGGCCTCATGCCGGAGAGTTGCCTGCTCATCCTCGTGGGGGCGCTGGTAGGCGCGGTCATCTTCGGAACCGACCACAAGTCCCCGCCGGTGATGGACTCCAGCATCTATTTCTTATACCTCCTTCCGCCCATCGTCCTGGAGAGCGGCTACTTCATGCCCACGCGGCCCTTCTTGCCTGCTCATCCTCGTGGGGGCGCTGGTAGGCGCGGTCATCTTCGGAACCGACCACAAGTCCCCGCCGGTGATGGACTCCAGCATCTATTTCTTGTACCTCCTCCCGCCCATCGTCCTGGAGAGCGGCTACTTCATGCCCACGCGGCCCTTCTTCGAGAACCTCGGCTCCATCCTGTGGTGGGCGGGCCTGGGCGCGCTGCTCAACGCCTTCGGCATCGGCCTCTCACTCTACCTGATCTGCCAGGTCCCGGCCTTTGGGCTGGGCGACATCAACCTGCTTCAGAACCTGCTGTTCGGGAGCCTCATCTCGGCCGTGGACCCGGTGGCCGTCCTGGCTGTGTTCGAGGAGGCGCGTGTGAACGAGCAGCTATACATGATGATCTTCGGGGAGGCCCTGCTCAATGACGGCATCAGCGTGGTGAGATGTCCCCACGGTCCCCAGGGGGGGAAGCGGGCAGCGCAGAGGCGGACCCCGGGCGGCCTGGCCACATGCTGCCATTGGGATCTGCAGGGTGCCCACACTGGCTTGCTACACTGTTCACCTTCACTAGCTTCTTTTTTTAATTTATGGGGGTTTTTTTTGTTTTTGTTTTTGATGTGGACCATTTTTAAACTCTCTATTGACTTTGTTACAATATTGCTTCTGTTTTAAGTTTTATATTTTTTGGCCAAGAAGGATGTGGGATGTTAGCGTCTCCACCAGAGACTGAACCTGCAACCCACTGCATTGGAAGGCAAAGTCCTAACCACTGGACTGCCAGGGAAATCCCCACTATCTTCTTTAAAGGGAGAAACAGAGGAGAGGATGCATAAGTCTAGTGAATCTGGTTTTTCACTTTGCAGAAACCCTTGCTAAAGGCTCTTCTGGGTTTTCACACTGGCACGAGCAACATTATTGTTGTTTAGTTTCTAAGTCATGTCCAGCTCTTTTACAATCCCATGGACAATAGTTGGCAGGCTCCGCTGTCCTTGGGATTCTCCAGGCAGGAATACTGGAGCGGGTTGTCATTCCCTTCTCCAGGGGATCTTCCCAATCCAGTGGTTGAACCTGTGTCTCTTGTGTCTCCTGCCTTGGCAGGCAGATTCTTTACCACTGACACCCGGGAAGCCTGGGAAAAGCAGTACTTTGAATTTAATGTTCTCTCAGCATCAGACATCATCTTTTAGATTTCTTTCTTAAGTCCTGATTTAGATGATGAAGTTAAATAAAAGATAGGGTTTGGGAGAGAGATAAAGGTGGATTTGCACGAATGCGTTGGCTTATCTGTCAGTCTCAGCTGTGTGACTCCCATAGAGAATGTGAGGGGGCACCTTTGCTAAGGAGTCCTTCGAGAGAGAAGCTGAGAAGGGTTTACAGGCCAGATCAGCACAGAGCATCAACCCCAGAGGTGTCTTTGGCTAGAGGTGCTGGAATATTCTAGACTGGCTGCTGCACTGCGGTTTCCTTATGTTACTGTAAACCTTCACCAGGGATTAGTCTCTGTGATTTTATATGAACTTTGATGCACTTTTCTTATTTTTACATTGATATTACATTACATAGCGAATACTAGAATGCACTTTCAGTGTAAAAGATTCCAACAGTACAAAATCACACCGAGTAAAACAAAAGCCTCCGCCTGGCCCTCTCCTCACCCCCCTGGATCCAGTTTCCATATCCCTTCCAGCCTTTATCTGGAACACAGGCGTATACATACGCATATGTAAGTGTTGTTATTGTTCAGTCGCTAAGTTGTATTGGAGAGCTCCAGGCTTCCTTGTCCTTCATTATCTCCTGGAATTTGCGCAAACTCATGTCCACTGAGTCGGTGATGTCATCTAACAATCTCATCCTCTGCCATCCACTTCTCCTGCCTTCAATCTTTCCCAGTATCAGGGTCTTTTCCAATGAGTCACTTCTTCACATCAGGTGGCCAAAGTATTGGAGCTTCAGCTTCAGCATCAGTCCTCTAGTGAATATTCAAGGTTGATTTCCTTTAGGATTGACTGGTTGGATCTCCTTGCATCATTCTACATAAACTGGGTGGGATTACATCAGATGTATGCTTAGATGTAACAAATCTTAGACTTCTTTCTAGATCTTTTCCACTGTTGCAGTATTTCATAGATGACGTTTGCAGTGATTTATTTAGCCATTTCTCCATGGATGGATATTCCCGTGCTTGCCAATTTTTCACTTTCAAAAACAATACTGCAATAAGTATTCTTGTTTCTACATGCATCTCTCTTTTGTACTTGTGTGCCTTTATATTGGATAGTTTTTTGAAAGTAAAGTTTCTGGGTTAAAAAGTAGTTGTACTTGGGGGCTCCCCTGGTGGGCCAATGGTTAAGACTTCACTTTCCAGTGCATGGGGTAAGGGTGTGACCTCTGGTTGGGGAGCTAAGATCTTGCATGCCTCACAGCAAAAAAAAAAAAAAAAAATACATGAAACAGAAGCAATATTGTAACAAATTTGATAAAGATTTTTAAGATGGTCCATGCTGAAAAAAATCTAAAAAAATAAAGTCTTTAAAGGTAGGCGCACCTAAAAAGTTGAGAGATGCTGTTCTAATCACCTCTTCTTCATTCAGCTGATAAAGGAGGGATTCCCACCGAGGGTTAAGGAGTGACTCCAACAGTCAACAACTGAGACTAATGATGGTGTATTAGTCACTTGTGCTCACAGCTCAGGGGAGGAGGACACGACTCGCCCACAGAGTCGCGTGGGAGCTGCACTTGGAAGCAGCGTGAGCTCTCAGTGTCTGCAGAAGACACTGTTAGAAGGATGGGGTACCCCCTGGTTCCCAGGGAAAGATGTGCTTGACTTTTTTCTTAAACATTTATCTGGCACATGTTTTGTTCTAGGCACCATGCTAGCCACTTGGGTGGCAATAATGAGAATGAGACGAGGTTCTTGGCTCTTTTTTAGAATTTTTTTTTATATTGGAGCGTAATTGATTAACAATGTTGTATCAGTTTCAGGTGTACAGCCAAGTGATTCAGTTATACATGTATCTATTCTTTATCAAATTCTTTTGAGTAATTCCGCAAGCTGGCAGGGAACTGGCTCCTAGTTCTCGTGGATATGCAAGCACCGGTCGCTGAATAAGGAGCTTATTGGCTGGAGGACCTTACTGTGGTGTCAGGTTGCAGGGGCGGCTTGCAGTAGGGCCACGCAGGACCCCGTTTTACCACATAAAATATTAAACCTTAATTTCAGTTTTTATGTACACAGCTGCCAAGATTTCCTGGAAATCTTTATGGGCTTATATTTCCATAGAAAATGTGTTATTAATAAGTGCATATTTCTTTGTGTTGCTGTCAACAAAGGGCCTTGTTTTCTTAATGTTTTCCCATCTAATGAGATAAAAAGGATGACACGTGTTTGTTGTAATTTGCATGATGGTTAAGCATCTTTTCAACAATTGTAGATCATTAGTGTTTCTTATCCTGCAAATTGGAAGTTCATGTCCTCTCAGAGTTGTCAGACTTAAATAAATATATAGGACAACCACTTAAACTTGGGTTTCATATAAACAATGAATCATATTTAATAAGTGTGTCCCAATTATTGTATGCAAACACTGATTTTTGTCCACTTTTCTTTGAGACCATTTACTGGTCTTTTTATTTTTTCTTTTTTAAAGAAAACTTTAAAAAGGAACTTTTTAAACTTTCTAAATTTTAAACTTTTGGATGCTACATAAAAAGCAAATATTTTCTCCCATTCTGTTCCTTAATTTTTTTTTAATCTTGGTATCCTGTAAAAGTTTTAAATTTGTATGTAGTCAAACCTATTATCATATTTTTTTATGGCCCTGGGTTTCGTATTTTGCTTTCTGACATTGTATGTAACCAAAAATCATACAAACTTTTAAAAAAACTTTCCCCCTTTTACGATTAATTATGTAAGTCACCCAGCACACAGTTTTTTTAGTATTGTTAGTCATAATTTTCTTTATTTTCTCTTTTTAGAATTTTCAGGTATGAGTTTTGTTGAAGTGTAGCCGATTTACAATGCTGTGTTAACTTCTGATGTACAGCAAAGAGACTCAGTTGTATACATACATACCTTCCTTTTAAAATTCTTTTCCATTGTGGTTTATCCCAAGATATTGACTATAGCTCCCTGGGCTCTACGGTAGGACCTTGTTCATCCTGGCACAAGATATTTTACTGTGAGAATTTGCCGTCAAAATAGATAGCACTGGGGGCAGGGGAAGGCTTTGAAAATAATCCAAGATATGGGGGTGGATTCATACACTGATTTTTGTCCACTTTTCTTTGAGACCATTTACTGGTCTTTTTATTTTTTCTTTTTTAAAGAAAACTTTAAAAAGGAACTTTTTAAACTTTCTAAATTTTAAACTTTTGGATGCTACATAAAAAGCAAATATTTTCTCCCATTCTGTTCCTTAATTTTTTTTTAATCTTGGTATCCTGTAAAAGTTTTAAATTTGTATGTAGTCAAACCTATTATCATATTTTTTTATGGCCCTGGGTTTCGTATTTTGCTTTCTGACATTGTATGTAACCAAAAATCATACAAACTTTTAAAAAAACTTTCCCCCTTTTACGATTAATTATGTAAGTCACCCAGCACACAGTTTTTTTAGTATTGTTAGTCATAATTTTCTTTATTTTCTCTTTTTAGAATTTTCAGGTATGAGTTTTGTTGAAGTGTAGCCGATTTACAATGCTGTGTTAACTTCTGATGTACAGCAAAGAGACTCAGTTGTATACATACATACCTTCCTTTTAAAATTCTTTTCCATTGTGGTTTATCCCAAGATATTGACTATAGCTCCCTGGGCTCTACGGTAGGACCTTGTTCATCCTGGCACAAGATATTTTACTGTGAGAATTTGCCGTCAAAATAGATAGCACTGGGGGCAGGGGAAGGCTTTGAAAATAATCCAGGATATGGGGGTGGATTCACCAGGTGGGAAAGACCCACACTTGAAATTAGAAATCACTTCACTTATTCATAATGAGAATGTCTAAGTGCTGAGCATGACTCGAGGCTCATCAGACTGGCACAAGCTTTCCTGCTGGGTGAGCACCTCAGAAGGCCACGCTGTCAGCAAGTCGCCATAGGACTCTGGACTCCAGCCTGCCAACCCATTCAGAGACCTCATTTCTCAGGATGTGGCCCTGAAGCTGTGTGCCTCAGAATCCCCCAAGTGGGTCTGATGGGCACTCAGACACCAACCCCCGCCCCAGACCCACCGATCACACCCTCTGGGAATGGAGCCTGGGAATCTGTATTTTTAACCAGCATCTCAGACAATGGCTAGTGTTTGAGAACTCCTGGTTCATGACCTTTAAGTGGCAGAAACTGACCCATCTGGATATAAAATGTTTCTACATTTGGGAAAGGGCTGGGCTAGGCTCATCTTGGAGATCCCCTTTCCCTCACCCTTTCTTTCTTTAGATGC